ACATGCTTTTCGAACAAACCGAGGACAGGTACACTACTGCATACAAGCAAGGCTGCTAAGTGCTAACTGTTCTCTTGGTGGCTCCGATGACAAATCAAGCCAATGCAAGGCAAGAGGAATGACGACTCTTCGCCTCCACCTAACTGAGGCCCTATACTGCTATTAGTATTACTACACAGGGATACGGCGCTCCAGAATTGCAGGAATGTTGCTGCTGTTGGGAAAAGTGACGATCAACACTGCCAGTAGTAGCTTTAATACAAGTCTATTTTGTCAGCTGTGCTTAGTTGAGTGCTAGCAGAAGAGTAACTGGAGTGGAGAGCCTAGCCTGATTGCAACTAAGTACAATGTCATGTAAATATATAAAAAATGTACGTAACGTCGTTGCTTTGCTCTTCAGGTAACTGTCTTTCAAACATGCTTCGAAGTATATGTACCGTACTACCGGTACTCCACAACCAGTTGCAACTCCGTTTCTGCCGACCCGTCGCCTAACCAATCCATTCAAATGTCATGGGAGAAGTGACAGCTCAGGACAGCCCGGACAGCATGACATGCAGAGAAACAGTCCGTGACCCCCTATGGCAATGGCCCGTTACACAGCTACAGACTATAGCAAGTGCAGGGGAAACCCCAATTAATTGAGAAATTGCCAACTGCACTGTCACCTGGTCACTCGATCGATCGCTTCTCGGCAGCACTTCACCATAAACTACCAAAATCCAAAAAAACTAGGATGGAACGATCGCACACTTCATGTAGGTGGGTTGTTTTGTCCACAGTGTTCTGTCTTTGCCATCGTTGATGGTAGAATTCCTCCATGTGTCACACGTCAACCTCACGCTACCAGCGGACTTGCTTCGTATCTACTCCGTGGAGCCAGTAAAGGAATCGCGTCTCAAGATTTCCGTTGGCATTCAGCAAGAAATAGCTGGTCGAGCTGTGTTCATTAATTAACGCATCGTTGCGCTCCGACTCCGTACTGGTAGCCCAGGACATTGGCCTAACATAAAGGCCGGTGCATGCTTGAATATGAAGCAGTAGATTCGATTGCCCAGCTGTGATTCATTGGCATCGACCACCGTTTGCGTTGGAGTTCGTCAAACAAAGATTGAAATGAGAGCGAGCACTGTGCTGTCTCCTTCTCCAACTCCAACTGGCCGCGGGCCGCCATTCAGTCATTGCATGCAGCCTAAGACTAATCGGACTAATCCTTCCTGGCTGGTTCTTGTCAGGGCTTGGACAGATCTGTCACTTCCACGCTGTCATGCGCATGACGACATTGAGCTCTTTTCCGATTCCGAATGAAAATACGTCCGAACCCCGTCTGAATTCAATGCGAAGACGACTCTCGCACCGGTCCTGCTGTGCAAAGAGCGAAAATCGCGCGAAAAAAGTAGAGTTGACAGACTTTGGGCCAGTTTGGCGCAATCCCCCACTGCAGTGAGATGCGTGACATGGCCACTACAAAGAGCGCGCCGCCGCAAGTCAAAAGAAGACCGCTGATGGCTCACTGTCGGATTGACGGTACACTTTGGGTGCACCAGAATGATTGCAAGCGCGTGTGGATTGTGGACGACGGCCTACCATTCGTCAGTGTCTCTCGCGTAGACTGCACGTAGGTAGCGCTCACGCACACTACGCACACAGACAAACACACACGCGGCCGACCAGCTCCTGTCTACCGGGGACGTGTGATAGATCCGGTCCGGGGAAACCGGCAACGGAGGCTCGGTGTGGTCGCGTGGTCCGAGTCTATGACAGGCAGCAGACTAGGCTGGAAAAACGGGTGCATTTGGAAAGGAGCGGCAGGGTCGAACTAGCTACATGGTGTGAGCACTGCAACAAAGCCAGCAACTGGGCAATGTATCCTGCGACACACACATACTGCACCCATGGTGGATCACTAGTCTCACGTGCGCCGAGAATCAGATCCTGGATTGTTGACCGCAGTCCGCACGTCTCTCCTATCCAGTCGACGCGGCTCAGCTGACCTTGGGCTTCAACCAGAGGAAAAATACGCTGCTCCAATCTTTTTCGCTTTTTTGAACAATATTGCCTTTTCGTGTCCAAGATCCTGGACAACGGACCATACCGTAATACACGCAGATCCTTTGCCGTGTATATACCAGTAAATGAGAGCACACTGCTTGGCATTCAATCTGTATACACACACATACAGTGATCCTGTACTGTCCCAATCCTTGTGCATGCATGGTCTCCTGTCTTGACCTATAGGGATAGGTGACCTTGCCAGTGTGTGACCAGGAATATTTTATAGTCATTGGGCCAACCAGCAGGGGCCTAGCGAAGCAGAGGATGGCGCTGAGCGCCGTGTTAGTAGCGGCGCTTCTGCTGGCAGGCAGTGCGCTTGGACAGCAGCCACAATGCTTCGACTATCCGTCAGGTGAGTAGCCATTGTATGCGCAACAGCACATGCACTGGAAGCACATGCTGCGCATGTCACGAAATGGAAAGAATGGCTCTCGAGCATGGCGGACTAGCGTTGGGGTGAAAACGGAATTGCGGACTGATGTCCGATGTCCATAACTTGAAAAATACGAAGAGGAATCTTTTTCAGACACAATGAAATCAATCCATATACATGACATTGTAGTTTTCGCCCCATTGTAATGTATGAATGTGAAGTTCTAATCATGCAGCAATATTACAACAGATGTCCATACGCACACCAGGCACATACAGTGGGACATGGGTGTTCGAAGCCTGCACTGGAGATAAAACGAACAGGCACGTCCCCGTGGTCCGCATGGCACGAGTTGTTCATAGGCTATTCCACATCGACAAACATTACGGAGTGTTGGCATACTGGCGTTGCCATGGTGTATAACACAGAAGTGCCATGGCAACCTATTCTCACCTAATTGCTGAGATTACGATACACGGTTGTCGTCCAATTGCGCGGCACTTGGGAGTGTTTCCGCTTTGCCGAGTAAAATTATATGCTCGTGCCAAAAAAATGTGTCGTCAATCAGCTAGGATCTGTGGCCACGGCATGTACATGTGTGCCTTGGATAGATGTCCTAATAGAGGCCACACGATTACATCATTACATGAGAGGCCTTGTACTGGGTGGCACAACAAACACCGGTTTGCCGCTCGGTGCAAAGTGCGCGATGATGTCATTCACGTGCACGGCCTCTCGAGTCTGCACACAGCAGGTGTGTACACAATCGTGTACACATAATAATATAGTCATGTACATGTAGATGCCATGTTGTTATGTACATGTACGTGTATGGCACTACTGCGTCCAGCTATGGGATCAGAGCTTTACCAGCCATGATGGCACTATTAGTCCATGCGGCTCGAGCGGATCACAATGTCCTACATGATTATGGATATTGAAAACGCCCAGGCAGCCCAAACCTGGAACCGTGTACCGGGCAAGGTGAAATGCCTAGGAGCCTTCCAACCGATGCACATGCACAGTAAAACTGGTCCAAGGCGACCGCTCAAGGAACCTTGCAAATGCGGGCTATTCAGGGTTGTCGGACTAGGAATATCATCACTTGATCCTAGTTGCAGCGGTCCTTTGGGACAGGTGGTCGACTTGACACATTTTTACTTTACCTCAGAGATGTATGCAAACACACGGCGCCGGGCTTTTCCTTCTAGGTTGACACACGTGTAAAAGCAAACACTTCCTGTCGAGGCTTTACAAAATAAACCCCACATAACTGTAGTTGTATAAGAACCCATGGTTCTCTCCTTCGGCTTAGTGAGAATTTGCCTCTCACACAAAATAAGGATCAGGATACAGTTTTTTTTGACCGCTGGCATTTGAAGTCGGTTTTCCGAGAGTAACCCTTGTGGGCTTGGCAGCATCAAACGGTGCAGAATAAACTAGATACGATGCGGTGAAGACCACCGGCCTCAGCTGTAGACCCCCATCACCACCCCGCTTTCTTTGCATAATTGATGCCCAGGTGCAAGACTGGAGCCGGGGAAGTTAGTTAACTGTTTCGCACCGCAATAACTTAGTTGAGACTCGAAAGCCATGCACTGGGGCCGCCTTGTGACAAACTGACGACATGTGCAATGTGTGGTGCCAAGGTTATTGTACTACAAGTTATGGTGAATAACTGTGGGTCGCAGCACGCCTATAAAAATTCCTTCCGCTTCCAAGGGAAGCATCGGCGCAGCGAATGAGATTTTCGGCCTTTGACCACTTTGGTGGGTCTGATCTACTCGCCTCCTACCGCTTTAGGAGCTGCATCTGCGCCTTGATCCTTGAAGGGTGGTGGCGTTCCTACGAATGCGGAAAACTCGGCCACCAGCTGAGTCTCACGCGAACTGTGAATTTTTCTATGGTGAATATGCAAATACAATGCCATTCAGTATGCGCATACGATACAGGCCCGTTCCATGCACCGAGCATTAACTCACGGGCGGCCTTCCGTTTCTTTCACCACCAGTCAAAATCGTCATGATTAAAGTTTCGCATATGTTACATTTTGCTTTACACATGCCCCCCCCCCCTCCCCCCCCCCCCCCACACACACACACACATAAACACACACACACTGATGATCGATGAGTGTATCCACAGAGTTGTCGGTTGTTGCAGCCTGCGTCTGCATCTAGCATCATCATATATAGTATCACTCACTTCGATTATCATACTATTTGTGTAAGCTAGGAGTTTTACATGCTAGACTGTCTTTCCTTGTTTAGCCTCCCCGAAAATCTATCAGAGCTATTGTACCGGGGGCTAAACGTGACACGGTCAAAACCATACCGGAGTGACCATGGCGTGTCCAATGGCCCAGGACACGAGGATAATCAGGCTCTGGAACCCTAATCTCTGCATGTCTGTACATGTATGTTTGTACATGTATGTCTGTTATGTGTATGTCTGTATGTGTATGCCCGTGCACGTATGTCTGTAAATGTACGTAAACGTACATCTGTATGTGCATGTCTGTGCGTGTTCCGTTGTGCAAAACTGTCTCATTAGGCACACTAAACTTCCTTGACGAGTTTTCTCCATCTGAGGATCCGCGCGCTGCGGCGCCGATTCAGCATGACATCAACGTCATGCTAACGCAAGGATCCACCTACTCAGCATCTCAAGACTACACTCTGTACACGACGTTCAGGACGCAAATCGCGGAGGGCGGCGCTGCTCAGAGATTAGCCACGCTCGGCCATCCGATAACGCGTGCCGAGCAGCTGTCCGTCACGCTCTCCAGCAGCACGCTGACGCTGGCGTACGGCACGGAGACGAGGGAGTTCAGCGCTAACCTGGCCGACGGCGAGTATCACACGCTAGCGATTGAGCACAGCGACCGTGTGCGAGTGTTCATCGACGATAAGTCGTGCGGCGAGACTACAAGGAGCGCTGCGCTGCCGGAGCAGTACAGAATCAACTCCCCGATGATGTTCCGATTCGGCGGAGATCTGAACGGCGGAGAGTCGACGTTCACTGTGAGTGACAACCCGCAGTTAAAATTTAAAAAATATTTGTCTCTGGGGCCCAAGAGTTGTGGCACGCTACCTGGTGGAGTATAGCGTGCGCCGGAACTGGTGTGTCCTAGTCCCCATGCACACAAGCAACCGGCCAGCACAAGTATATCTGGGGAAAAAAAGCCTCAAACAAGAGCATGCGCAGTGTGATGCTGCTGCCAGTAATAGTACTACAGTAGATATATTACTACTACAGTGTATATATTATTACTACAGTAGATACATGTATATTACTCGACACAAAGTTTTTATTACAATCAGCAAGATGTGAGAACAACAATGGACAAAGAACTCAACGGATTCAAATGTAGTCAGGGCTTGTTATTATGACCGTGAATGACTACTACTGCCAATCATGCAAACGCACATGTCTGTCACCATGGTTACCAGAGGCAGAGAGGAGATATATTACTACTACATACTCTACAAGCGAGTACATAATAAGAAACCCTACACATAAAGAGAAGGAAACGAAGCGTTTCTGCTGTCACTCTGAGATTCACAGTTTTCTCTACGTAACTCCATACACCTGAACGGGCATGGTTGGGTACTTTAGGTTCCTACATGTATCCTTGTTGGGTACTTTAGGTCCCTATGTACCTCAGTACAGGGCTTGTACAGTATCAGTGCATGTGCCCACTTGTGTGTGTTTGCATGCACTCTCCATCCGCGTCTTCACCTCTTTGCCTCGCTGTCCGGTTGACTACTGCTTGCAGGGCTCCATCCGGGCATTTGTGATCTCGGGAGCCCGCTGTGCGCCATCCTTCGAGAGCAGCTCTCCGTGCACGCTAGGCCAGGTCAGTGTCCCAGAGTGATATTGTGTTCAATTTACTTTAGTATTTTTTTCAAAAGCACAATCAATAGGCAAAGCTTGGACAACATACCGTATACAAATAATTTATCAAATTTCTAACAAAAATTGTGATAGAAGAAACTATAATTATTATTATTATGGACAATAAAAAAGTGTAAACAGTGTTAAAAAAAATAATAATATGTATGAGTCGCATAGTCTCTGTTGGCAGACTGAGAGAATGAGCTTCTCAGCTCCAGCACTTTGCTAAAATTTTAAACTGCAAGAGGCCTCACCCTTACGCCTGACATATCCAGTTTATCCGTAGTCGTCCGTAAACTACAACGTGGCAGCCACCCACACAGGTATAGAACTTCAGTTGTACAGCTACACTAACAGTGTCTTCACTCCATGCAGTGCAACAGTATAAAACAGCAAAAACCCTTTTTTCATTCTCTGATTTTTTGTTTCAACTAGCTCTGCCTTTCGGTATTGAGCACTCTATTGGACAGCCTAGAGCCTCTCTGTTTTCCAGTGGAGCAGTATATTATACCGTTTACGACCGTCCACATTGTGTTGACCGGACTGTCTAAGGCCCTACACTGCACCTAAGATAAGTAGTACGAACACAGCTCGCCCCTCTCCATTCTGCTTGAAAGCCCTGGCGATCTCCGTTCACTCTTTGTTCCACACATCCTCGGATTTCTCCTTGAAACTAGGAATTGTCCAATAGATCGCAACTGCTCATGCAACTGCATTCATAATTTTAATGCCATATCCTTGTGCTGTGATTTTGCTGTGCTGTGGACAACCAGGGTGTTGCTGATATCGGCTCAGCTACACCGCCAGCGGATAAGGACATCATACCAACAGTAGTGGTAAGGCCATACATGCACACTGAAGAGACCCCCGCCGCACTGTGTTCACAGGACAACCGGGCACCACCCCCGGTCCCCTTTTATTCTGCTCCGTATGCGTACTCTCAGCATGCTCAAGCTGATATAGATGTACTTGCTGAGGTTGATTATCTTAAAACGGTTAAAATTATGCAGCTGAAGCTATGTATATGTAAAATGTGAGTGTGTTTTTTTGTGTGCGAGCGAGCGAGCTAGTAAATGAGTGAGTGAGTGAGTGAGAGAGAAAGAGAAAGAGAGCAAGCAAGAGAGAGAGAGAGAGAGAGAGAGAGAGATAGAGAGAGAGAGAGAGAGAGAGAGAGCGCGCGCATGTGTGTGTGTGTGTGTGTGTGTGTGTGTGTGTGTGTGCGTGTGTACACCGTAGTGTGCATGTGCATGTGGAAATGTTTGCGCCTGTTTTAGCTACATAATGGAGGAGTGCGTATGTGTACCCTGCCGTTAAAAAATCATTTTAAAAGTTCAAAATATGTTTCTCCAAAAATATTTTAATTTCTCCAGACAACTGAGGAGCCAGTGGATACTCGTGAGCCGGAGCTAGGATCAGCTACAATTGACAATGAAGAGCGTGACGTGAGTAACTACTGGCTTGCAGATTCTTGTGCTTGTGCACACACATTAGCATCATGGTAATGTCAACAACACAGATGCACATACATGCACCCACACGCACGCGCGCGCACACACACACACACACACACACACACACACACACACACACACACACACACACACACACATACACACACACATACCGTATTTTCCCGAATATAAGGCGACCTTCTGTGCTCCAGAAATTTCGCCAAAAGCTGGGGGTCGACTTACAAACGGAACTCGACTTACACACGGGAATCTGGCACAACAAATGAAGTGACCGGAGTGTCCGTACAAAAATGCACTACCGTACAAACCATGTGAACTTTCGTCCCGCGAGTGTCAAGTCACTTCCGCGCGCGCAGTGCGATGTGTTCCTGTACTGTAGTGATTGGCAGCACAGTGGCAGCACAGTGGCAGCACAGCACAGTTAACATTGAATGAACATTGGATGACACTGGTTTTGTTCAGATTTTGTCTTACTGGCATGATATGATCTCTCCTCGCAGAGAATTCATCATTTTGTATGTTTGGGTGTCATGGAGCTATAAAAACTTTTTTTCATGAAATTGACTCCTGGATTTGGGGTGGTCGACTTATATTCGAAGTCGACTTATATTCGTGAAAATACGGTACACACACACGCACGCGGCATGCATACACACACACACATTAACACACACACTACAATACCCACTACGCCTACACGCACACTCACACTAACACACGTACACTGTGAGCGTGCACACACACAAACACCCCCCCCCCCCCCACACACACACACACACATATACACACACACACATGCTGCCCACACCCACATACAAACACCTACACGGACTTGCGCAGCCACACGATACACATACACATACATGTATGCAAACACGCGCACACATTTGCAACTGTGCGGCAAGGGTATGTCTTGCCAATACCATCTCGACCAGAAAGAGTCCGAAAGACCACATTCCTTTTCCGCCCCCATAAACAATTACATCCATGCCGGATACTTTAAACAAGTTTAAACCTTTTTTTGGTGTCAGGTCGTTGAATGTCCCAGTACTCCTTGTCAGTTTTGTGCCATTTTTGTCGCACTCGCTGACTGTATATGATCTGGTTACGTTGGTGGGCAGTTAGTCAAAACTCGTAACATTTTGTCCTTCTCCTTTTTTGCCATAATCAAATTGGTTCACCATCCGAGTTCGACTTTTTTGTTTTGTTTTCAATTGTTGCAACTGCTGCTTTCTAACAGACACCTCCTCCTACGACTACACCAATGCCTCCCACTACGCCCATGCCCACCACTATGCCTTTGCCACCCACGACCCCTGTGCCACCAACAACCCCTGTGCCACCAACGACTACGCCATTTGATCCTGACGAGCCATGTGGACCACCGGTAAGAGATCGAGTTGGGGGTGTGTGGTGGTGGGGGGTGTTCGAACTATCATCTTTCTCACCAGATTGGAGCCTGGACATTGTCCTCATCTCAGGGATTGGGTTGTTCCTCAACTTATCAGGGAGGAATACTCCTCACATGATAAATGGGCACCTGATAGGGAAGGGGTGGAGAAAGGGGGGGGGGGGCTGGGGTATTCCCCACCTGACTGGGGAGGAGTAAGGGAAGGTATTCCCTACTTCATTGGGAGGGTTGGGGAGGGTCCCCCCACCTGATTAGGGAGGGTTGGGGGAGGGCATCCCTCCCCCCCCCCCCCCACCTGATTGGGTAGAGCTGGGGGAGGGTATTTCCCCACCTGATCGGGAAGGGTTGGGGGAAAGATGTTCCTCACCTGATGGGGAGGGCTGGATTAGGGCATTCCTCACCTGACAGAGGAGTTGGGGGGGTATTCTCCACCTGATCGGGGAAGAGTTGGGGAAGGACATTCCTCATGTTACTGGAGAGGAGTTGGGGGAAGGGTATTCCCGCCTTATCTGGTGAGTGAAGCTTTGGCGATGCACACTATTTGCATGGCGAAGTGATATGCATGAGTTGTACAAGGGAACAACCTCTGGAAGAACTTTGGGATTTTCAATTTGAAATTTGCTGGTAGCTGTTATTATTTATTTTATTGGGAACACAGCCCTACAAAGAGACATGTGGAGACAAACACAAGACAAGACACAGGGGATGTAGGGACGACGTGCCGATGTACAGGGAGCAACTCGACCGACCAGGGGTCTCGGCGTTAGCGTTGCAACCTGGCTGTTGCTTCATGCGAATGCAGCGGGAGGTGTGAGTGTATTTGTACTGGTTTGTATGCGACTTCTTGTGTGCTTCTCTGCTGGTAGGGTGACAAGGGTGAACCTGGCTCAGTCTTCCAAGGCAGGGTAAGTGCTGATGCAGCAAGTCAATGGAAACTAAGTTAGAGATATTGGCGTGGCATACCATCTGCTTGTGGCATACCACATGCCATCTACTTGTGGCATACCATCTGCCTTTCATCTTGCATGTCTGTAGCTACTCAGCCTATTCATGGAGAAGATTTTTGCTTCCCCAATTGCTACGGATGCGAACAACTATTAATTCACTGAGACTCACACGAACGATGAAATGTTTTCCTCGCTATGTTTAGTGTGTGTGGTGCAAACAGCTGTGCATGCGCCCATACACACTCACGTGCTAGATATGATCATGTACAGGAACGTACACACACATACACACATACACACACATATGCAGAGACTTTGTATGGTTTGGTTGACCACGTGTGTGTATCCGTGTGGTTTTTCTCCCTTGCACAGCCCGGCATGGCAGGTGAACCAGGCGAGGCCGGATCTCCAGTAAGTCAGAACCGACCTTCAGTCGGACTCTAACCATGCTTCACAGAGTGAGAATGTTAATGCTATGGTTGGCTAGCCACCCTCTCTCGCACTTTGTGTGACAATTGGTCATGGACCACGAGTTGAGTGAAATAGAATAAAAAATAATAATAATAATAATAATGCAACCGTGTATGGTTGCAGTGAAAAGTTCCCCTACCAATACCAAGGGAAAGGATTATGAGAATGTCATTAAAACCTAAAGTTCGGACGTTCTAATGTTCAAACTCTGGCACTAGCACATAACTAATTGTTGACAGGGATTCTGTAATCAACATTAGGCTTGTCATACAGCTGTCAACCATGATGAAAATTAGCTGAAGTTAGTTGTAGCCAACCTTGTTGAATTTTGGGTACAGCCTCTAAGGTGACACTTTCAGCAGAGAGACCGTGTGTGAGTGTTTTGATGAAGTTTAGTACTGGCTACAGTCATTTAAAAGATCTATCAGTTAGTACACAGTACGCTCTGCTGTGGCAGGCTGAGTCATCCTCCACGTCGTTAGCCATGCCTGCAGAGTGTGAATTATGATCCCTGCCTAGTTAGTTTCAACACTTGCACCTGCGCTAGCAGTGTAGTGGCATTTCAAAGGCGATCCAGTAAAACCTGTAACTAAAGACCACCGTGACTAGCGACCAGCCTGGTAATGCAGACCACTTCGCCAGGCACGGACGGTCTGACATTATTATCATTATGCGATGCAAACCTCTAACTAAGGACCACCTGCCGCTAAAGACCGCTTTCCCTGGCCCCAAGGGATGGTCGTTAGTTATAGGTTCCACTGTACATGTAATCGGGTAGTGCCTGCACCAGAGGCAGACCAGCGGGGTGAGTGATCTCGGCCAAGCCAGTGAGTGGACCTAGCCAGACGCACACACAGTCGGATGGCGACGGTTGCAGGGCTGAAGAAGTACGGCTGGAGTCAATGGTAATAACACACAGCCGAAAACCGGTGAATGCCATTACCTCTGTGTGATGATGGCTGAAATGCGTGAAACTTGGCATCACAGCTACACAGCCTTTCGCTTCCGTTGTATGTGTAGCCAAAAACAATGGATTTACAGAATTGTTGTCCCGCTTGATGTTTGCTGCAGGGTCAAGATGGACGTCCAGGTCAAGATGGTGCATCCGGTCCATCAGGTCCACCTGTGAGTGCTCGGTGTAGACAGAGCTTTGAGTACACCATAATGATGCGAACGGAACTGTTGTCTTCTACGTTGACTGTATTGTCTTGATGAAAATCTAATGTAGGATGTGGCAAGTTTAACATGCAGTGGTACGATGTGTGTAGCATTGCTTCTATTGGCCTTTATGTGTCCATCTGTCCATGCATAAATCTGTCTGTCTGTCTGTCTGAAGAAGACCAGCAGGGTAGAAACGTCAATTCAGTCGTGATCACTTCTGTCCTTCTGTGCAATGATCTAGTCACTTTTGTTTCATATGTGCTACTTTCTTGACGGGATCAAGTGCCGGGATTGTCATAGTTAAGGTCGCCAACAACCTCCGAGCTTTTGTCTGTCTGTCTGTCTCTCTGTGTTTGTGTGTGTGTAGGGCTTCCCTGGTGGTCCAGGAACGTATGGCTCCAGAGGACCCATGGGTAAACGTGGTGCCGATGGCTTTCACATCGTAAGTTGCATGTGAAGCTGACGGTTTGCCTGAACAGATCATCATAATGATCAGCCAATCGATACACTCATATCTCCTTTTTCCGGGCATCAAAGTTTCTTTGGTCTACCGAGCGGCAGCTTGGTCTTAGGTTTCCTGGAAACTTGGGAATGTAATGCAGAGTTGCATGGTTGTCGAACGCATTCACTCTGCTACGGAGACATATCGATGTGTGCACGTTCTGAGTCTTAATTCAAGGCTGTTTCCTTCATCACAGTGCTCCAAGCTTGGAGGGTGGCCTGTGCTCTCTGGTGTGTACTTATTCTTATCTGTGTATTGCCCACAGCTCGTTGACAAACTCGATGACTACATACTTGAATTGCTGGGTCTCACCAGAGCGCAGCTGCGCGAATCGTTTGCCAACCAAGTCGGCCCAGTCAGAGGACAGAAGGTAAGATTGGGTACCAGGGACCCCCCACCCCCCCTAAGATAGGGTACCAGGGCCCCCCCCCAAGATAGGGTACCAGGGGCCCCCACCCCCTAAGATAGGGTACCAGCCCCCCCCCCAAGATAGGGTACCAGGGACCCCCACCCCACCCCCTAAGATAGGGTACCAGGGACCCCACCCCCCCCCCTAAGATAGGGTACCAGGGACCCCCCACCCCTCCCCAGGTCAGGGCAACACTCCCTGTACGATGCTAGCCTTCAAGTGCGGAGGTAGGCAACAGGAGTATGCTTCTAGGCTGGACTGTACACCAGTGTGATGCTTACTACATGCATGTCCAGTTCCCATATGAACTCGCCGAACTTTCATTTTAACTTAGTTCATACCTTTTTTAATCGCATTGTGAACTACATGTGTAACTGCTGCTCTTTGACACCCCCTCATTCACACTTGTCCAGTCCCAGCAGGAATGTACAAAGTTATCTGCACTTTGCGACCGCTTTGTTTACGTGTAAACCTTGTATGTGTCTACTTCGCTCCAGGGAGAGCGTGGTCCTCGCGGCAGAGATGGCGTTGACGGCGTACCAGGCGGACCAGTGAGTCAAACATGCAGAATATATTGGACCATGCGTGTCTTTGGTATTCCTTTCGAGCTGATCTCAGGAGTTGTGTGCTGGTCTGAGGAGTTCAAAACATTTCCTACTGTCCCCTCAAGAGCTCCGCATGGTGACATCACCCAGAAAGCACACTACTGCTCACCATCACATCATTCAGATACTCATAGACTTGATGGTCTTGTCCAGAATGACATCACTCATACATGACTATGACATCATTAAATATAATTATTACACGCCTCCACCTCTCTTCCACTCCTCAATAATGCATGTTTGGTTGCAATGTCTGTTTCAACAGGGAGATCGTGGAGAGGATGGACGCCGAGGCCCCGATGGAGAGATGGGCAAACGAGTAAGATGACACAGTTTTACATGTTCTTAGAACGTTTCCTTACCCAATGTCCACAACGTGTGCCTATTTCAAGTAGGCATATTTCTGGCATGGAGTGACATGTGGCAGAGAACTAATGTTGTCTTGCTAATGTTGTCTTGCCTTTTAAGGAAGATCATGGTTGTCAGGAATGTTTACAGGCCAGTTATTGTTCGGGTGTATGCTGGGCACTGGGCAGTGTAAGATAAACAAGCCCCCCCCCCCCCCCCCCCACACACACACGGTGTAGAATGTTACTCAATCCTAGCTTCCAGCACCATTGTGTGTATGTGTATGTGTGTGTGAGTGTGTGTGTGTGTGTGTGTGTAAGTGTGTGTGTGTGTGTGTGTGTGTGCGCGCACGTGCGCGTGTGTTTGTGCATGTGTGTGTATGCCTATGTCACGGCGTGACTCACTAGCCAGAGAATTTCACCCGTAAAGCTCAGCAGCATAGACCGGCATAGATAGGAGTGATGGCTTATATAGCCTAGCAAGCCATTATTTGGTACAATCCCAGCGCAAGTTGCTATGCAAACAACTGTAATCTATATGCAGGTCATTATCACTACCATTTTTGCGATGGATGTCTCAAAAATGTGTTTGCTTGCATCCTTCTGCCATCTATTCAGGGCCTTACCGGACCAATTGGACCCCGAGGAGCGCAAGGTCCCCCTGGCGGCGTTGTAAGTCTGAACATCATGAAAACACCATAGCGCCCGACACACTCCAGCCCATGCATCGATACCCAGTCACAGAACTGAGCAATACAATCACACGATGGACTGAGCATTGTTATTTTGCTCAAGTTACCTTGTGTGTAAAGCTTGTTACGAGCTCCCAAGCTCGCTAGACACCATGAGCAGAAACATGCCAGAGTTGCAGCATGATGGCCCAATGGCAGCACGTTTCAACAGCCTTTTATGATGATAAGAAGAATCAAATACTGGAAGCGTGTGTTCCTCGTTGGAACAACCAACTTCATGAATGATAAACATGAGAAGATTGCTCCCTTTTCCTGACATCTGCACTGTGGGGATGCGCTTGGCAAGGGGGCCTCTCAGTCTGATTGCTTTTGACAATGGAACGTTGCCATATTCTGTGCAATTCTACAGGGCCAGAAGGGAGAGAAGGGCGAAGAAGGCACCAAGGGACACCCTGGCGAGAAGGTAAGTACGGTTTGCTTTTTGTAACTGCCAACTATTACGGAGTACGCAGTATGGTTTTGGGGCATATGACCTGAATCTGTATTATGAATGGGGATCCTGGTGGTGACAGTCAATTTTTTCTTCAGACTTTTCCCGTTTGTGTCTTTCCCTCAAACTAGTCAAGAATGTGGATATGAAAGATCGCCGGTGACATATCGGATTACATGCCGGTGGTACCTGCTGGGCTAGTGTAAGAGCTGTTTTCTTGGTTGTGAACTTCTCTCTCTCTCTCTGCGTGACTCCAGGGATCCCGCGGCAAACACGGTCGTCCCGGAGAGCCGGGCCACAAAGGCCCATCTGTAAGTGGATCTGACATGTGCGTGGGTGGTGACACACTATAGATGCACCGGCAGACATGGAGATAAGGGTGTGCTTTTCTATTATACACTTTCCACGATGGTCCATGGCCAATGAGGAAGATAATAATATGATTCAAATCAGCCTACAATCATATAAAATCATTCTAGCAAATAAGGAAGCCAACAAATTACAGGGGTGGGTTAAGAAGGTGTACCATGTGAGCTATTACAGGAGCATTATGAATGATAGATTGAGGCTAGACGCCATTCTTGGATGGTTGCTAGCTGGCGATAGCACTTCAAATCTGAACAATGCTATGGCGCCGCTGGCCTCAAGCGAAGGTCCCTGGACCGAGTCCTGATAGTGATAGTCAATCTTCCTTCAGATACTTACGCTTTTCAACATGCTCCACTAATGGATAAGTACTACGGAAATGTTTTTTTTCCAAAGTGCCCCAGCTGTCATGTGATGCACCTTGCAGAGGGATATTTGGTATTATGCTATAGAACAGAACCCTGTTGATGGTGGCATGACCCTCGTTTCTACCTTTATCAATTCATAATATTTCTACTGTGATCCATTTTCTCGACGTACAGGGTTTGGCTGGCACTGATGGTACTCCTGGAAAGTCTGGTGTCAAGGGTGGAAAGGTAAGAAAGCGACTGATGCATTCAGAACGAAGGGTAACGCTCATTTGGCATATTTGCGGTGAGAGACTGAGTACAAGAGGACGAAGTGGAGGATTCTGTGAGTCGTTACCACATGTTTGTGAGAATCAATGCAATAGGGTTTGTTGGAAGCGACTGAAACCAATGGCGGTGGTGGTGGCGGTGGTCGTTGTCGTTTTCATTGTCGTTGTTGCTGTTGCTGCGGCGGCGGCGGCGGCAGCGGTGGTTACTGCTACTGTTGTTGTACATGTGTGTGTCTAATAACTACACTCAAAGTCATGTTCTCTTTTCTGACTGTTAGGGCGAACCAGGCAAAGACGGACTGATGGGAGCGAACGGACAACAGGTAAGCCCAGGAAAACACGGCAGCAAACCTCGCAGAGAGCACCATCTTAGATGTACTCTTTAGATGTACTCATGAGCAGGAACGGAAGCGTACATACACATTTCTTTATAACGGGCGATTTGTTTAGAGTTTGGATCCCACACGCAGTCATTTGCTCCCGCAGTATTTTGTTTTGTTTCATACACGTTACATGCTAGCTGCTCTGTATGAAGATGTGCTGTCATGTGTGCATGCAATGTCCAATGTATTGTGCTGCTGCCTGTGTGTGTTCTGAACAGGGTCCACCTGGTGTCAGCGGTGCTTCAGGACCCAGCGGCCCGCCAGGACCAATGGTCAGTGAACAGCTATGAACACCGAGATATGCTGCTTTCCTGTACTCCATACAATCCCACTATGATACCTATCTGTAGGGCAAAAGAGGAAAACTCCCCCGATTTACGCTAATGCCGGTGGAGAATTCGCATACAAACTACAATACAATAACCTAGTACTGCTGTGAATGGACCGACTAAATAATGATGGCACCAACAAATTTATCAGCGGCGCTGCATAGCTTCTGACCTCATGCACTTGGTGTTTGGGGCTTCTTTGCTTTGCACAGCCACTGCCCATTTCAGCACTCATGCACGGGTACTCTACCCTGTTCTCTGCATCAGCTTAGCTGGGCGCTCGTAGGCAATATTCTGTGTTCTCTGCACGAGAAGATTGCTCTGTGGCACCCTACTACCTCAGGCCCATGTACCCTGTACACTTTGGAAATCTCTGGGGAGCACTTGTGATCACAGTGGACACGTCCAGTTGTCCAGTCATTTTGCCAGATCATCCGGAGTGTAATTCGAGTCTGACATCATGCAACCAACGAATGACATAGTGCATGCATGCATGACATAAAGTTTTGCCAGATCATCCAGAGCGCAACATGGTATTGGTACTCTTGCCTAATGTTTGGACATGGCGTGTATGCTCTGGTGTATGTGTCTGTTTGCATGCTGTAGGGCCTCGTCGGCTCAAGAGGACAAGACGGAGAACCAGGCCCAGAGGTGAGTCCGTGTGTTCATTTCCGTGCACCTGGGATAGTGGCTATGTCACTAACCTGCAAAGCTATACTATGCATGACATGTGATTCATATATGACGTAATGCATCCAAGGAATGATGTAATGCATGTATGCATGACATCATGTTCCATGCTCCTGCATGTCAGTATGATACGTTCTGTACTGCACCTATGCGTTGCAGGGTGATGCCGGACCACCTGGACCAGACGGACCATCCGGAGAACGAGGCCCCAAGGTTTGTCGAACTGCACACAGAGTTTAAAGCATGGTCTTGTCGCACTCTGCCAGCTGTATGCATGCTGCCATTACAATATAGCGTGTGTTCAACCTGCTGTTTACACTGCTTGGCACAGCGCCATGCCCTTGACTTGTGGTGCTGGTGTACTTTCTTGGAAAGGCAGTGCAAGGAAGAGGTGACACATTATAATATTAGTACTCCTTGTTCCCATGCCAACGCAATCAAGTTTACACCCTCACAAATGCTGTACCAATATTTCCTAGATTTATCTCATCTACCCCTACACAACAGCTGCGCTCTCCAGGCGACTTCGACACCTTGCCACAGCACACCATCAGCGTCTCCGGACCATAGTTCTCTTTTTCAAACCATTACTTTGCCTCCATGCTCTGGTGTAAGCATATCTGAATATGGTGCTGTTTCTCCCTGCACAGGGTAACGGTGGACCTGATGGCCCCGTCGGCGTACAAGGCCCACCGGTAAGCATAATATAGTTTTCTTATTCCATGTTATGGGCTATGAGTACAAGATCTGTCAATAATGTCTACATTTAATCAATATAGCTTTTCGGCTGTTTCCTTTTCATGTATATAATCTTCTCCTTCTTTACCATGGTTGGCTATCACCCACATCTTCCCGTTTTGACTGCCATAGGAAGCCATAAGATGTTGAATAAATAAATAAATAAAATTTAGGCTTCTAGGTACTTGTCTTAACATTGAACTGACCTCGCAGCATAACACTGCATGGAGCTGATCCGAATGCATGCTCAGTCCAGTGCAATCGGCCGATGAGACATTGGTGTGGTTTGGCTTTCGTCTCTCCCTGCAGGGCTCGTCCGGTGCTGACGGCATACCCGGAGTGCCCGGCTCACAAGGAGACACTGGTATTACTGGCCGCGCTGGAGATCCTGGATCCAAGGGAACACGGGTAAGACTGAGCACATGTGTCTCTCCGCCGCGCATGTGCGACTCTCCGCCGCGCATGTGCCCCGAGGTTCGCAAACCAAAGGACGAACAGTTGCAATTTCGTAACTCTGAGTTTCATGAATTGAATGATCATGAGACGAAAAGTGACACATACACACACACAGACACACACACACACAAACACACATGCCGAGTTAAAGATTAACTTAACGTCACACCTCTGCAATCGACTCTGACAAGTCTCACATCCAGTGTCTTTCAAGAGCGAAACAACAAAGAGCTTGTTTTTTTGGCGGCCCAACCGAGATACCTGCCATGCACACAGTCCTCATTTTCAGTCATTGCCAACTGTCTTTTAGCGGTCACTCTCAAGTGCTGTTTACTTTCTACGTACTCCGTTACAGGGTCGCAATGGTCGCTCCGGCCTGAAGGGAGAGCGCGGCGTGCAAGGACAAAAGGTGAGTAAGCAGACGCAAGGATTGCACAGAACCATGTACTATCGTCTGGTATACCCCCCCCCCCCCCACACACACACACACACACACACCAGACACACACCTCTGTTGAAGTTTATGAGCCGGATCCTACCACAACTTGGTAAGGCGGCAGAATACCTGTGTATCTGAGGAAGTTAGTTGGAAAACATCACCTCTACCAATGTGTAGCAATGAAATCTTATCACAGAAGACTTGTGGAGAAAATAATTGTGTATTTGATTTGATTTATGGCATAGAAAAGGACCTAGGAATTACAAGTCCACTAACACCACCAGTTACTTGACAATCATTTATTTGAACTCGTACAAACAACACCTCTGTCGTATTGTGTGATTATCTTGTTCAGGGCTCCGGAGGACCGACCGGACCAGTTGGAGCTCCTGGTCGTCAGGGTGATGCCGGCAGAGTTGGTGCCAAGGGTGACCGTGGCCATAAAGGATTCAATGTGAGTCGTGGATAATGGCGGAGCCGCAACTTTACCTTTACACTTTGCACCAAGCTGATCGTGGCGATGTGTTCACAACACTTGTATGCAATGTTATGTCATTCATACAGTGTCCATTCATGGACAGTACCTCTTCAACTTTCTGTTAGACAATTTTTGCCAATACCATGTCCAACCATTCAATTTGAGGAAGAAACGTCTTGCGAGTCTATCCAGTTCAATCCTGACCCCTTTCTGGATGATCTTCAACTTTCTGTTAGACAATTTTTTTCCAATACCATGTCCAGCCATTCTATCTGAGGAAGAGACATCCTGCAAAGTAATCCAGTTCAATCCTGTCCCCATTCCCTTCTCGTTGATTACATGTTTCCACAGGGACCAAACGGAGAAGAAGGTTATGCCGGTGAAGATGGCCCAGCAGGAGACAAGGGAGAGAAGGGCAAGCGTGGAAAGACTGGCAGCCAAGGCAGTGCCGGCGCTCGGGTAAGATGGCTGCTGAAAAGCACCGACAAGGATCATGAAGAAGATAGCTGGACAGCATTGCAATGCTCACGGGTGGTGTGAAAGTTATAAATAATAGCACTTTGAAGGGCAATCCCTCTAACCAGCTTGTCACCATGAAACAGTTCTTCTCTGGTATGTCATGCAAATAATGATCCACAGGTACAAGTAAATTTGAAGCTACTTTCTGTTTGTGAGTGAATACTTTTTCAAAGAGCCTCGGTTCGGACCAATGAAACATAGAGTGAAGATGCATGTTGCCTCCAGCCACGGACGGACGGATTGAGTTCTCCATCAATACTGTGACAACATGGTGATGCAAACCATCTGTTTGCTGTGTGACTTGTGTCTGTTTGCTGTGTGACTTGTGTCTGTATGATTCCATTTGTATGCTGTGTGTCTTGTGTTCTGACCATTTAGGGACCTCCCGGTTCAGCTGGCGTTCCTGGATTTGCTGGCCGTGACGGCGAGAAGGTGAGTCCATGTACCCACATCTGCACGATACCCTGTTTGGAGCAACTGTCTATGGAATCTATACCCAGTTGGATAATGTTTCATCTGACATTGGCAGTACACAAGAGCCAAAACTGGCTTGCTGTCGTGATCATTCCGCAGTGCACAATATCAGACCTGCATTTAGTGATAAAGACTTTGAAAATGCAATCTACTGGCCAATGACTCTAATGCCGTTTTGTGTGCCTTTCCTTGTCTGTTTCCAGGGTGACCTCGGTGCTATGGGCGAGTCCGGACCCATGGGTCAGAAGGGTCGCCGTGTAAGTTAACAAAATATGCTGCATGTCACGTGAACCAGCTGAGCTGTGCGTTAATCAAAGCTGCACTTTACAGCCAATGTACTGTACATTCAACTTGAAATGATTGGGAAATGATACCCGTGGTCGTAAGAAAAGTGCTGTGCTATGAACATAAGAATTATGTCCAATGGTGTAATGTTGTTTTCAAAGCGACATATGTAAATGGATAGGAGTGCAAACGGTGCCGCGTGCATACATGCGTGTGACAGTCCATATATGTACGTGTGAACACTACAAATGGAAAAGAAAAGTATGTAATGCACAGGGTTCTAAGTAGTATTATTATTACACATGCATGTGCTGACTGATAGTACTATATTCTCACGTTCTGGTCTTGTATGCCATACAGGGCAACAATGGCGAGGCTGGACTACCTGGACCAACTGGACTACAAGTAAGTGAAAGAACAGAGACAGGCAGGCTCGCTGACTTACCATTTGTACATGATCAAACTGGTGTGTCAAACATAACTTCTCGAATTTCAACTCTACAGATTTCCACCACTGAAATAGGAGCCCTGGCCTTTCACAATCCAGGCAAACATGCTTGTCATTTATCGGCCATGACATGAAATGAAGCAATACCGGGTCATAGTATAGTAAATAGAGGTTCGGTTTCGTATTTTTGTAATTATTGTGCTCTGCGTCAATTCAACCATGACATGCACAGGGCTAATCGTATTCTTAACACGAGCAGCTTTCCTCTCGCTCTGCTAAAATGTGTCGATTTCCGAATGGTTTCTGAGTTTCGCGATGTGCAGGTCTGGCACTGATTGTATTGTTTCCCACCATACTCCAGTCATTGGACCAAGTGATGGTACCACTATGTTCAGTTTGAATGCTAATGGTACTCTTCATGTGTGTTCTGCTCTGTAGGGCGAGAAGGGAGGCAGAGGGATGTCCGGATCTCAGGGCTCCCAGGGACCACAGGTAAGCACATCATTGTGTTGGCTACCGCACTCATAGCATTTCCCTGCACGGTGCAGTATCTATGATTGCATGCATGAATCATACCCTGGTTGTGACAAGGTGATTGCCACTACACTACTCTGCACAGATGCAGGTAACACCTGGTCAAGAGGCCACTTGTTGTCAGCAGCCACCTGGGTTCTAAGACCAATACTCTTTGACACCAGATGTGTGCTATGAGCAAAAGCCAACCTGGTTCCAGAGACCACCTGCAATCAGAGACCATCTGCGGGTTTGTAAGACCATGCTTCCTTGGTACCAAATGTATGGAATGTGAGAGAGTCAACCTGCATTCAGAGACCAGGACATAGTCTGGTACGGCTGCTCATTGAAACCAGGCATAGCCAGCATGCATTGTGACGGGGTCAACCCACTAAGCCCAACTATTCCAGTCAACCCACTTGGCCCTACTCCTCTCAAGTCAACACAGCCTCCACAATGCGACAAGCACCAGTTTCTCAATCACTTTCCATCATTTCCTTTAGCAATATGCACCACTTTAAGTTTGTGGGAACGGAAATTGCTCATGCACTGTAATTCCTCCTGATGTCTACCTTTAGCTGAATTGCTTCTGCAGCATCTCGCTGGTAACCACAATAGAGAAAACCATGTGTGATTATGTGTGTGTGTGTGTGTGTGTGTGTGTGTGTGTGTATTATCTGTTCTTGACGTACAGGGTCCAGTGGGTGCTGAAGGTGCCGTTGGACCACGCGGTGACAGCGTAAGCAAAACATGACTATACATGGTTTAGTGTTTGCCTCTTACCAAGCAATTCCGTGACTAACCAACTTCATCACTGTTGTTTCAACAAAACGTACCACTTCACAAGACACGGTCCAGCATAGTGTTATTCATGAATGCCATTGCCTGTAGGCTGCTTGCAGCTCTCGTCTACCTTTGGATCGTCTCAGTATGAATTCAGGAACACTGGAGCCAACGACATCATTGGTAATCACTTTTCATCGGTGCACATGTGTGTGTGTATGTGTGTGTTTGTTTGCATGTGTGTTTGTAACACGTGTAATGACAACAGGGAGAGGCAGGTCCACGAGGCAGCACCGGCAGACCAGGAAACGATGGAGATCCCGTAAGTAACAATCACATCTAAGCCCACTCCCAGACTATCGGATGCAGGTGGCCTTTTAAGAGCTCGTAGGTCGTGCTAGTTATACACCTGAAACATGAATTATCTGATCATGGTCCCGCTACCTATCAAAATTATGTTAGAGTTCTATAGCATGTATATGTAAGTCTCCTTTCTTTCCCAATGAGGCCTGATAAAAATTTAAAATATACCTTGGTGTTTACAATAAGAGGACGGAAAAAATGTTTTAACTCTGAGTTTCATGCACTAAGTCATCATCAGAACTTGAAACAGTAAAAACAGTCCTCTTGTTGTTCGAACTAGCTCTGCCTCTCGGTATTGAGCACTCTCTGGGACAGCCTGGAACCTCTCTGTTTTACCTTGGTGTTTACCTAAAATGGTACCTTGGTGTTTGTCCTTTTAAGAGGTTTGATGACAATATTGTGGCTGAGTGCCTGGTTTGAGGATGTGACACTGGGATGTCTTCTTCTCACGTTCTCTGCAGGGCGCTACTGGCATTTCAGGAAAAGATGGCGAACCCGGCGCCCCTGGCATTGTCGTAAGTACACACCACCCTGCGCGGCGTGATCTATTTATCTAGACAATTGAATGGAATGTGAACATGAAATGCATTTCGTTTCTCAGCCCTGTGAGCAACATGTGAGCATGATGTGTCCCCCCTTTCCTAGATGATTATGTGTAATGGAAGCGTAGCCCTTGCATGCAGGCGACTGCTGCAGCATTTTATCAGCATGAACTACCATTCTCTGTTTGTCTAAGTTACTTCAACACCAAATACCCGGCTTAGTGAGATAGTTGATACGGTATGCTGTGGACACGTTGCTTTCACCATTAAGTCCCTGCTCAACATTGTCCTTCGCCGCACATTCTGACTGCTTGTTCTCATGTGTGCTTGTATATTCAGGGACCACCTGGTCGCCCCGGTCTTGACGGCTCATCTGGAGGCCTAGGCCAGCAGGTAGGTGTGCCAGAGTGCTTTTAAGCTGATTTGTGCATCGGTCTTGCTTCGTTGACGCCAACACTTGTCTAACACACATGCAGCAAGCTGTGTTGATTCTTGCTCGCTTGACTTGGGTTTTGTTCTGTGTCTCTCGTGTTCTTCTCGTGTCCGACAGGGTGATCCTGGTCCTTCCGGTGAAGACGGTGCCAAGGGATTCTCCGGACAGAAGGTAAGAGTTGTGCCGAGCGCATGACAGTAGGGCTTCCAAACGAGACACAAGATGAGCTAGGACAAATGGTTCATAGCTGAGAGATGCATGCGGTTGCACTTCAACGGGCAATGCTCGGTTTTGGAAGAAACTCGCGGTAAAATTGAAGAAGTGCTGCAGCTTTTGCACTCACCATTGGACGCACACGCCCAGCTCAGGATAAAGCATTCGGGGCTGGTGCTGTGCAGTAGAACGACCCCTCATTGGTATGCCTTTCCGGCTATACAACTTGTATGTGCCCATCGGTTGTGCCGAAACGAAGACCTGTCCAATACTATACATGTACATGTGTCCAGGCTGTTGAACCGCTCCACATTGAGCGGGATAGTTCCAACGAATTTTGAACAAGAAACAGGTGCTACTTGTCGACTGAGAGCGCATGCAGGAGAGGTGGAGAGATTATTGCCTTGAAAACAATTTGTTACATTATTTTATGGGAGACAATTGCCTTTGTATGCATTGCGTATTTGTGTATGTGTGTCTCACTACGACGCGGTGATGAGCTGAGACAGAGTGAGAGATCTCTTCCTGTGCTGTCCTGTCCCTCTTGCAGGGTGTTAATGGCGAACTCGGCAGAGCAGGAAACCCCGGTTCAAAGGGCCGTAAGGGTCAGCAGGGCTCCAACGGCATTGCTGGCAAGCAGGGCACACCTGTAAGTGAAGTCCTTCAAGTTGTATTTGTGTCGGTGCTTAGATCATAATCACCTTGATGATCATACTGAATGTGGGAATACTGGTTGGGTAACCGTGTCAGCAAAATCTTCAAGTGGTCATTTCGTTTCTGTCAAGTTTGTTTTGCTACACTCAACCCACTCAGCATGATGTAGTGTAGAGTGTAGCCATGCATGGAGAAGGTCTTACTACCATAGAATCCGAGCGATGCTCAGATTCGGATGCCATCATTTGGAGCGTTGAAGACGAGGCTGTGTGTTTTTGTCCAATGTGAACCTGTATGCAGGGTGCCTAGGACCATGTATGTTGTTCTGGACTGTGCAGGGTGCTCTGGACTGTGCAGAGCACCTTGGACTGTGCAGGGCGCATTGGACTGTGCAGGGCGCCTTGGATCATGTAGGGTGCTCTGGACTGTGCAGGGCGCCTTGGACTGTGCAGGGCGCCTTGAACCATGTAGGGTGCCTGCTCTGGACTGTGTAGGGTGCCTTGCAATGTTTAGAGTGTATTGGACTGGATAGGGCATCTGGACCTCTTATAGAGCGTCCTCCATGTTCAACGGGTAAAGATGCGTTTGCCCATACAACATGAAATGAAATGTGCTAGGATTTCCGTTTCCGATGGACATATTTTGTATCTGTGTGTGTGTGTGTATGTGTCTGTCTGTCTGTCTGTGCACGGGTGTGTGTGTACCTGTGCCTATGCATATGTGTTTGTACACTAGGGACCCGACGGACCCGCAGGATCACCAGGCTCCCCAGGCATCCAGGTAAGAATAAACACATGCTGCTAGGACCCGACGCTCCATTGAAATTTACCTTGTCTTGGGAACCCTTCCGTATGACAGCCAGCGTTCTACCTTACAGCCAGCGTTCCAATTTACAGCCAGAACTCCACCCTACAGCCAGTGTTACACCATATTGATTTTGGTACCATGTTTCACAACAACATGCAGCAATGCTCTGTTGTGTATATATTATGCATGTGTGTGTGTGTGTGTGTGTGTGTGTGTGTGTGTGTGTGTGTGTGTGTGTGTGTGTGTGTGTGTGTGTGTGTGTGTGTGTTTGCCTACTCGTAGGGTGACGATGGTGTGCAAGGAGAGCCTGGACCAGAAGGCCAACAGGGAGAAATCGTAAGTTGAGAATGTGCAGTGATCGCTGTTGCTACACAGTGAGAAACTGCTGCATACTGCTAGATATTATTGTCTACCACGGTCACTGGATCTCGGATGGGGCACCCCAGCTGTGAGGTACAGAGGAGTTCACAAAGCAGATACCCTGGTGAAGAATGCACTACAGTCCATTCAGAAAAAGATGGGCTCTGGCTCTGGCGAGCTCCCGTATTTGGCGATTTTTCGTGATTTCATTGTACACAGTGCAGTGCTGCGAAATTTGAACTTTGAAAAAGAGTCCAAAAAGGGTACCTGAACTGGGGTTCGAACCCCACAATGCACTGTTGCAGGCAGGGTCAAACGGCCTGGATTTTGATGGTTTTTTCCAATTCAATGCTTCTGGGGCAAAACCTGGCCGATATCCTATCCTTGTTATGGCTTGCTTTTTGGACAAATAGACTTCAGAAACATAATTGGAAGAGGATTCCATTGGGGATTGCAGAAAAAAATTCTAAAAAAACTCAAAGTTTGACCCATTTATGGCCAAAAGCTAGAAGTCCATCTTTTTCTGAATGGACTGTAGCTCAGTACGGACATTGTCAGCTAATTTCGAATGCACCACAGTCATCATAACAACCCGTATCGCTACATTGTATACTATCCGACCTCGCGGCTTATCCGGTCCTCTTTTATCTGGATTCCTCGCCATCCGGGAGAAAATCGTTGATCACCGATTTACAGCAGCTGTCATGCATACATACAGATGTGTTTTCGATTATCCGGTTCCCTCGCCTATCCGGATATTTTGCGGAAAGCGGATGTGTGCGGTTAAGCGAGGTCTGACTGTATCTGATACACGTTGTGCAGTGAATGCATCTTATGATTGTCAGTTTCAAGATTCAATCACGGCATCCATAATAATAACCGATCACTCTGTACCCGTTGGAGACTGTGTAACCACACTGTGCATGGCCTTACACTGGGTCCCCCACCCTGTACAATGCTGCCAATGACTTATGTCATGCATCAGGTACTTTGAAGGGATACTAGAACCTTGATCCTGCAGTGCAGTGTTCACAGCTTCTGCATCGGGTCTGGGGATTCCCCCTCCCATGGCTCCACACTGCCACTGTGCTATTGTGTTTGCTGGCGAAAACTGGACAGCTGAAACCAGACCTAACTTGTGTGTAGAGCCGTGCTGTATCGATGGGTCGGTGATGCAACACTGCTCGTGTGCTGATGTTGTGCTTGCTTGCTTGCTTGTTATAGGGACAACAAGGACACAAAGGAGAAACTGGACCACACGGCGAAGCCGGACCAATGGTACGGGCTGTAACGAGAGTGAACAATGATCATGCACTGCTGTATTCTAAACCGCGTGTTGAACTGATTTCTCACAGCGAGAACATGTATCTCTGTGGAATTGCTTCATTTCATGTTCATTTGTTATTAGCAGTCATTTGACAAGCCAGGAGATGTTATATAAACACAATATGACTGAAGTGAGTGAAGTCTGTTACATGACATTGTACTACTACTGTTGGAAATCATGTTCTGACGTGTTGTTGTTGCTGATTGTGTTCAGGGTGAGCGCGGTGTACCTGGACAGCCAGGCCGTATCGGTGTGAAGGGCGACCGCGGAGATGTCGGCCCTGCAGGCCTAGCCGGCGCAGATGGTCTCGATGGCACACCGGTAAGTCATTGCAGTACACAATGATGATGATGTCATCATTATGTCATGACGATGCCATTTTGATCCCATGAGTCGTGGACTTGTGACAGCCCATCATTGGGTAAAATGGACACCATGGATTTGAATGACTGATAAAAAATATACAAACAGAGGGCAGATGCGGTCCCGATGGCAATGCAATTAGGCTACCATATGATGCACTGTGATGCATTGCAGTTTGGGGAGTCAGAATCCCTTTAGGACGGTGATCTTTGTTGAAAGTCACTTCTTGATCACATCAACTTGATCACATCAAGGTCATGCAAGAAAGTGTTGGTAATGCTTCTTCATATAATTATGGGTATGTGGGTATGTGTGCATATGTGTTTCATCCTCGCCTGTCGCTGTTCATCCCTTGCAGGGTCTCCCTGGCAACGACGGTGCAAGTGGCCGTGCTGGTCCTCGCGGAGAGAAGGTAAGTGGAATTCCTTTTGCAATGCCGATGTATGGTGCATTTCGGGTGTATTCCGGGTGTATTCCGGATGGAGAGGGAGGGAGGGCGGAAGGAGGGGGGGGGAGAGGGGGGGGAGGGGAGAGGGGGGAGAGGGGAGAGGGGGGGGAGAGGGGGGGGGAGAGAGGGGAGAGGGGAGAGGGGGGGGGGAGAGGGGGGGGGGAGAGAGGGGGGGGGGGGGGTACTGTCCATGCACAGTATATTGGGCACCCTATGAAAGTGCACTGTGACCCGGGAGCAAAGCATGATCATGAATGTCGAGAGTGGTCCATCTATCCCAATGTCCTGACCCTACTAACATGCCGCTGAGTTGGAGAACTGGTATACTAATTTGGGAATGCTATAGTAATGTTTGGATGTTAGCATTGTGCTGTGGTTGAAGCAGAAATCTACCCAAGGATTCGTTGTGAATGGTCCAACCAATTTCTTCGAGATACATTCAATGATCGGAACTTCAAATGCATGTGCATGTGTGTCTATGTTTGCATTCATGCTCATGTGTGTGTGTGTGTGTGTGTGTGTGTGTGTGTGTGTGTGTGTGTGTGTATGTGTGTGTATGTGTGTGTGTGTGTGTGTGTGCGTGTGTATGTGTGTGTGTGTGTGTGTGCGTGTGTGTGTTCGTCTGTGCGTCTGTGTGTGTGTACTCCAGGGTACTCGTGGTGTCACTGGCCGTGAAGGTCCCTCCGGTGAGCAGGGACGCAAGGGAGAAGTCGGCGCAACAGGATCCATGGGACTGGATGGACTTATTGGAAATATGGTACGAGATGAAAATGAAAACAAAGCAGAAAACCACCAATGCCAGTACAGTGCATTACACACAGTGCCGGAGTATCCCTGTAGAGCTGTTTCACATCCGGACCAGACGGGGCAGCCATGTTGATTCCACCGTTCAGCATCATGTTTTAATAAGAGGGCGCTTGTTCCTTTAATACCGTTCTGTGATTAGAAGCGTAACCTTCTATCTCTGTGCTCGGAACACATGACTTGTGTTATCAGCCTAACTGATCAGTTGCATGTGTGTGTGTGTGTGTGTGTGTGTGTGTGTGTGTATATGTGTATGTGTGTGTGTGTGTCTGTGTGTTTACATACCTGCATTCGCATGCGGGTGTGTGTACATGCATGAATGTGGGTGTAGGGCAGCAAAGGAGACAAGGGCGGTCGTGGAACACAGGGCTTCAAGGGAGACCGCGGTGCAGACGGACCTCCCGGCGATGGCGGTTCCAGTGGCAGTCCCGGAGATCGGGTAAGGGCGTCACCACGCTTGCACATCACCATCCCATGCATTGTGCAGTATACAGAGAAGACGAAAATCACTGGGTATGCGGTGTCTGATTCGAGCCGGGCAAAAGTGCAATTGATGACGAGTGCTATTTTTTGCTTTTATAAAACTTCACTCCTTAACTGCGATAAGGTCTCTTTACTGCGATTCAAATTTATATCGCATGAAAAGTTGAAGAGTGAAGTTTCACGTAAGGTTGCCTGATGATCGTGACTACGTGAAACTCGGAGTTGCAACACAGCTTCCCCTCTCTCTCTTGTGTGGAATGGAGTTTCATAAATGTGTGAGCGGCTACATTGGAGTTTGCGGACAATAAGTCACAAATGTTATTGTGCTGATTGGTGTGTTGTTGTCATTTTTGTTGTGATATGTAGGGACAACCAGGCAACAAGGGAGCTCTCGGTGAATCAGGGGATCCTGGAGCAGCCGTAAGTGGTGTGACTCTTGCACATGCTTAACAAGAGCGGTAGAGGCTTGAGCTGAATCTTAGCACTGTGCAAGTGTGAATGGCCAGTATGACATCATAGGTCACGTGACCGAACAATCTACCTGTGAACAGTATGACATCACTAGTTGCACCACTGCCCTAGCTGCAGATAGGATGACATCACCGGCCACATGATTTTCCGTAAGCATTTCCAGGTGTGCAAGCTCATTATCCAGTTCAGCATTGAGGTGTTCTGCTGTACAGTAGAACGGTGGAAATAGGAGCGTGCAGTATGACATCATAGGTCACATGACTGCTCTAGGATGTGCATGCACAGGTACATGCACTGAGCTATTGTAATCTGGCTGTGCTCTGCTACAGGGACCCGAAGGACCAAGCGGCAGTCCTGGCGATCGCGGTGATGTTGGTGATACTGTAAGTGAAAAAAATCATTTTTTGTTACCATGAGTGGTACATATTAGGAAGTATAGGATTTTTTACGATAATTTTCCAGACGTTTCATCTCCCTAAACAACATCCTCAGTGGATAAAGAACCAAATATGCGTGGAATCATGTACAGAGGCGGTGTCACGGGCTCTGAACTCCCCAGAACACCAAGCCTACATACAATCCTATTGTACCTGCATCATTCCCCCAGGAGTTGGCATTCTATTGAAGTTATCTGGTGACATCACAGACCACGACCACGGTATTTACTATTTACGCATTTCATCCATATATGGACAAGTTTCCATCTCTTTCGTCCACCTCTTTTCAATTCCATATATTGATTATCTATCCGAGTTTAAATTTTGATTATCAGTAGTATTAAAATATTTTCTATGATTGGGTGTTGTGTTATGATGATCGTGTGAGGTTATCATCCCGTAGTTTGTATGCTAACTGTTGCCCTTGCCCACTTCTTTGCTGTGTGTGTGTGTGTGTGTGTGTGTGTGTGTGTGTGTGTGTGTGTGTGTGTGTGTGTGTGTGTGTGTGTGTGTGTGTGTGTGTGTGTACCGCAGGGTGAGCCCGGTGAGACTGGCCCAACCGGAGAGTCAGGCCTTGAGGGCGAGAAGGGATCTCCCGGTGTGCGTGGCGATCCCGGCATCGCTGGACCGCAGGGTCCACGAGTAAGTGCGAAAAGTCCACTTCACACTGACTTGCCAAGGACACGTGTATGACCATGCAATGCTTCCAGCTTTTGGTATCGGTTTCTGTGGGACATGACTGTGTCTGTAAAAGCTGTTGGCAATCTGTGACTATGTGCGTCTGAACACGGGTGTAGAACAAAACACTGCAGCATTTTCGGTTTTATATTCTTGTCCTTTGACATTTCACATTTACCTTAGCGAAGGGTGGTTATGATGATGGCTACCGTTGCGGCCGATATTGTCCAAACAGCTGAAAGTGGATGTTTGTTGCTTGTGCGTATGTGTGTTGTCGTGAGCAGGGTGCTGATGGTAAGAAGGGAGAGACCGGTGACGATGGCACACGAGGAGAAGACGTAAGTGAATCACGGTCCACGGTCCAGCATCGTTGTATCAGTGCACCGTAGCTATGAATATGGCGCGCATGATCCCCTGTATCTCTGAAGCAGCAGTGCAGTTTTTTGGTACTTTTGCCATGGCTGGGTATGGCCCTCATCTCTGGGGCTGCTCCCCATATTAGCGTTGCGTACACGTGCTACGCGAGTGAGTTGAGTAAATAAAGTAATGTGCAGAGGGCTTCGTGCAGTGCAGAGTGCATATGCGAGCGCAATGTTGCGCACTTTGAAGGGGAATAGAGATAGTGTCTGTATTGCTACGATATCATAGAATTCATGGCTGTTTTCACGATGTCATCCGAGCAATTTTGAAGAGTAAAATCAATGCAGACATGGCCACACAACATAGCATGTTTATGATCAATGATCTCTGCTCCTCTTCTTACTGTGTCTGTATCCAATTGCTGTAATTTTGTTATGCTCCCCCAGGGTCACCAAGGTCCTCCCGGTCCCTCCGGTGCTGAAGGCGTCAAGGGCCCACAGGTAACGATACTTTCTTAGGCTGCTTTTCTCCGTGTGGAATTTAACAAACTGTTAGGCTTACCAATCACATTGTATTGTTCTTCCACGTTTTTCGTTTTGTGCTCACATTGGAAGCATCGTTTTATTCTGATATACCATGGGTGCTCAAACACATACCACTTTTTCCATCTTGGATATTGAACTGCTGTGCGAGGACATAGCCTGTTTGAATCCTTCTAATCGGTCGTATCTACTTGTTAACTGCTTTCAATTCCTCAGGGCCAAGCCGGACCACAGGGCGCTGCAGGACTACCCGGACCAACAGGACCACAAGTATGTGGGTGCATGCGTGCATGCTGTGTTCTGCAACACTACTGATTGTTCCAGGGTTAGACACCCCTGGCATGACATCTATTTTGTGGTCACCGCACGGTGTGGATAGAATGGACCTAGTTCAACATTGTGAAGAGACTACTCGTGCTATATATCAATGCAGCATTCACCCACCATATCGGCATTGTCAACTTGGCATCTCTTGATACAACGTGACCATACAGTATGGCATACACTGCAGGATAACTTGAATCAAGAAACGTTATAGTTGAAGGTGACAGCCCTGGCTTGTGGCAATGAGCTAGCTGTTGTGTGCTCATGCTCCTTCTGTTCTTCTCCTCTCCTGCAGGGCATTGACGGATCTGACGGAGCACCTGGCGCACCTGGCAAGAAGGGTGCAAAGGTAAACTGCATATGTGCTTTCCTTCTTCTCATCTTTATCTTTACAAATGTGTCGTGAAATGACGCATCTCCTACGGCACCATGGACTAGCAAGAAATGCAAACAAAGACGGTGACAAAACAGCTATTAGTAGGGACTGCCAACCAAGCAACAGTGCATGCGAGGTGCATGTGGGTCTCCCGACCAAAGGTCTCGGGTATCTAGCTTGCGATGCGTGCACCAAAAGAAGTGCAAAAAAAGAAAAGAATACTTCGAGTAGAAGTGTAATCACATGATAGACTGGACATGGATAGACGCCTGTACCTGCGTATACTAACCTTAAAGCATGGCATGCCGGTGTTAGTGCCGCATTGCACTTGCGACGTGGCAGGTTTCAGTCCTCTTTTTCTCTTGCAGGGCTAGATTATCTGTTTTTTTCTTCTTGCAATGTGGCTACCGAGCCCCAGACCGCAATGAAACATGTTGTGTTTTGGAGTGTTGAGTAAAGGAAATGGAGCTGAGAGCATCGAATCCATTCTGGTTACTGTAATTTCACAAATTTTCGGTGTACTTTTATTTTCGGCACTTTCGGTGTGTCTTTTTCATACCTAAAATTTCAATACCCCGAACAAACACTAACATACATAATCCAATAGGGAACTGCTTCTCTGTACCTAAAATTTCTGCCCTGGCCTTTTGCCCTCATACCGAAAATATTGAGCACCCAAAATTTCTGAATTTAGAGTATATCATACAGGTGTCATTCAGAGGCTTCCCTGCTGGAGCTCATTCACTTCATCTGTCTCTACAACTACCGCTGTCCTTGTGTATGTGCTGACCGGCCTGTGTTCTCTCTCCTATCCTCTGCTGTCTTTACAGGGACCCGTCGGCCCACCAGGCAACAACGGCGAAAAGGGAGCAAGAGGCCCGCTGGTAAGTAATCAGGGATGCCATGGCAACACAACCTAAGACATCCCGTGACAACAGAGGGCGTAGCTCGTGCATCTGTTGTGGTGGTGACCATGTACCACCGACAAACTCGTAGCCGTCATGTTGCCTATTTTACCTATGTAGTACCTATGCCAGCCATTGACTGGTGTGGTAACCTGACTATTCTGACTACACACGAGCTACGTGCTTGCACAATGGAGTAGAGAGGTTGCATTGACAGCGAAGCATGGAGTAGTGTCCATACACATGGCTTGAACTTGAGAGAAAATCTGCACTCTCTCCAACCATCCTGCATGTATACTCATACAGCTCTTCTCCGATAGTTATTAAATTTTGTACTGTGTTATATAGTCCTTTGCCATAACAAATTGCGTTTTGTTCTGCCTATGAAAGCCAGGGGGAAAGGGGGAAGTGTGAAGTGTTTGCTGCATTGCCTGTGGTTGTGCATGGCATGCAAAGGCTGTATCAATGAAACACTGTTGATATTCTTTTCTTGCAGGGAGACTACGGCCCACCTGGCAGACCCGGCAACGTTGGCCCTGACGGCGAAAAGGTGAGTGACTTTCGAGACAACTAGCCGGTCACATTGGAGTACAGCAAAACATGTGTATGCTGGACCTTGTGCCTAGCGGAATTTGGACGTGGACTTGGACTTCCGGATATGCGATCGCTTATGAGAGCTTGTCAGGATGCGACTAGAGAATGTATTTTAGTCCGTAAGGGAACATAACAGGACCCATCTGCTTAGCCAGCGGCAGTCTGGATCGAACCGGAGCCAGTGGCCTGGGTTTTAGCATACTCCAATGCCAGTTAATACGGACCCTATGCACGCTTGATGGAGGTGATTTGTTAATGAGGGCGATGCTGTTTCTGACGTGCTGTTTGCATGCTTCCATGTATTCACAGGGTAGCGTCGGTTCTGTCGGACGACGTGGCTCCAATGGCGATCGCGGAGCACGAGTAAGTGATGCTGTGTCGATTCTTGCCGTGCCATGATAGGACAGCGTTGCGCTAACTTCTATCCAATTTGTACAAGATCAACACCGTTATATCTGTTTAGTGCATGCATGGAATCGTTCCCCTTGGTTTTCGGTGTGTCAGTGATTGTCTGCAGCGGCGTGTGCAGTCAGTGTGGATGAGAGCTTGGACGTACATGTAGCTACATTCTGTGGAGTATCAATGAGCCGAAGACGATATTTTCCTCAACTCTGTAATCGCGTGGATTATTTTAGTAATGTCTATTGTCCACACAGCAAATATAACTTATTCCAAAAGATCACGCCAATGGAGTACTTCGTGGTTGATAGCTATTCCTCTTTCTGTTTTTGTTTGTTTTGTTTTCTTATAGGGTCCACCAGGAGCAGCTGGTCCCAAAGGACAGAAGGGAGAGTATGGTCCTGAGGTAGGTGTGAATATGGGTGGAATGTGTGGGTGGAATGTGTGGGTGGAATTGGATGGGGGGGGGGGGGGGTGCATGTGTGTTCGTGTGTTCCTGCTCTGCTGTTAACTGGTGCAAACCATGTCACTATGCTCAACACAGCCTGCTGTGAATGCCTTTTTTCTTTGACTATCCAAGGCAATATTGTTTGAAGTGTTAACCAATTTGGACACATGCACTATCCCATGTGCACGGATAGCACAGAGCTGCTTCTCGTGGCTGCATCTCCAAGGAGCAGTGATGCACAATTATCATACTAATGATGGTGATGCCTTCTTGGACCTCTGTTTCGTTTCTGCAGGGTAAAATCGGTGAGCAAGGTGCACCTGGTACATCTGGTACAAGCGGCAACTCCGTAAGCACATGCATTTGCTGAGTAGAATTTCGATGTTGACACGATTCCGTAACGTTCTCTCTGGTGCATCTGCATGCTCTGTCCAGAATACATGTATCAGAGTGTGCTGCCCGGTGTAACTCTAAGACCAGGGCTGTCCGTACGCAGACACACGTAGTGCACTCTACATGCCAGCCACCTCCGGCCTGCTTGGTGCCGTTCGTCTTGAAATAACCTCTGAGAAGCTCAATTTTCAAATCCGTCCACGCATGAGATTTTTTGACAGACCGGGCTTACAGTTTTGGCTTCATCGTAGCATCTCACAAACACGTTGGCTTCTGAGCGCTGCCTCTCAGGTTCATTGCGAGTCTACGTTGGTAGCTGCAGTCAGCAGGCAACAGACCACTTTGCTGCCCTGTTGTTATGTAGTTCATGCATTGACAGGTGCAAGTTACTGAGCGATGTGTGTGGTATTTGACGTAACCTAGACGACTGGGTCAATCTGCGCATCGGTGAACACTGAAGGCACACTGCAGGCCGCCATGGATATGTAGAACACGTGAACACAAGAGGGAGTAACAACAAGAAGCGCTTCTCTATTTCCTCTTGTGTACCTCTTGTGTACCTCTTGTGTACCGTGCTCTGCCCATAACGTGCATTTGAGCACTATTGCAGTACAAGGCGGCGCACTGCCTCTATGTAGAACACAAGAACCTGTCAATTAACCTCTGTGTTTTTAAACTGTCTTCCTCTGCAGGGCCAAGATGGTCAACCAGGTACTCCTGGAAGCGCTGGACAGAAGGGAGAGCCAGTAAGAACTTTTGTCTATATTCTGATTCATATGCACACTATAGAGATATCGTGGCAAGGCTGTGGGAACTACCGCCACGGTCATGTTGTGTTTGCGGCCAACCTGCTTGTCCAGCGTGCATCGCAATCACCATAGTCGGGCACTTTTGTTGATGATACTGATAATCACGAATAGGTATTTCCATCCCACAGATAGCTAGTTGTTCCTCTCATTCAGGTTTTCAGTGGAGGTTTGGTAGCTGCTAAGTCAACAAGACAAGTGAAATGCACCACACCAGCAAGTCAAAGACTCTGGCTGCCTTGAGTAGGATGAGAAGGGACAGAAGAAACTGTGGGGGATCTGAACCCAGAGCTCTCCGCTACGCACGCGGCGTTGAGGTGCCCTCTCCTGGTACAATGCACCACGCGAACACCCCCAGCTACCACTTGCGTTGCCTTGATGTCCATGTACATATGTAGTGTGCATGTGTCCCGCTGACTGTTGCAATTTCTGGTGCATTGTCCTGTGTACTATCAGGGCTTGACAGGACAGAAGGGAGAGCTGGGACCTGATGGAACACCTGGCACCGATGTAAGTTCTAGAATCTTCTACACCCGAGTAACAATGCAGTAGTCATCATTTTGCTTTTAGGCACCCAATACTCTTATCTATCTCTATTTCTCTTCTTTTTTCCAATACTCACTGTGCAGACAATACTGCTCTCTGTCTCTACATGGACATGCTTTGCTTATTATAATGTCTCCGTGACGGGGAAAGGGTTCTTGAAAGGAATGGATATTATTCTGCTGGAACTGAGAGTGTATGCTACTGTCCCATCTCTCTCTCTCCCCCCCCCCCCCTCTCTCTCTCTCTATTACCACCCTCCCCTCTATGACCACCCTCCCTCTCTTTCCACCCTCCCCTCTATTACCACCCTCCCCTCTATCACCACCCTCCCTCTATTACCACCCTCCCCTCTATTACCACCCTCCCCTCTATTACCACCCTCCCCTCTATTACCACCCTCCCCTCTATTACCACCCTCCCCTCTATTACCACCCTCCCCTCTATTACCACCCTCCCCTCTATCACCACCCTCCCCTCTATTACCACCCTCCCTCTAGTACCACTCTCCCTCTAGTACCACTCTCCCTCTATTACCACCCTTCCTCTATTACCACCCTCCCTCTATTACCACCCTCCCCTCTATTACCACCCTCCCCTCTATTACCACCCTCCCCTCTATTACCACCCTCCCTCTATTACCACCCTCCCCTCTATTACCACCCTTCCTCTATTACCACCCTCCCTCTATTACCACCCTCCCCTCTATTACCACCCTCCCCTCTATTACCACCCTCCACATATACTTTAGGAATGGTTCGAAGGCAGAGGGGAAAGTCTGCATGTCCCACGAGGCAACTAATTTCATCCATCACTGCTTGATGTTTGTGGCAACTCCAGGGCCCAGTCGGACCCCGTGGTGAAGAAGGACCAGTCGGTGATCGTGGACCCAGTGTAAGTATTATGTCACTACACACTCAGCTGTCGCCATGTACTGTACAGTGAATTCTGTCTTAGACGACCGCTCAAGGGACCACCACAACATGGTGTCTAGCTACCAAGTTGCCTGCTCAGCATTTGACTGGGCATAGCATCCATATGTATCCTGGTTGCGGTTGTCTTCTGGGACAGGTGGTCGCCGCATCCGAGTGGTCGCCTTGACAGGTTTACTGTTCTTACATATGTACACGTGGATACGGTGTGTGTTTAAAGATCAGAAGCACTCCAACAACGGCACTCTGTGTATCCACTGGTATATGCACAGTGCAGCCAGAGATTGGTGTGATCACACTGGCGTGCATTCGCATAGCATTGGTAGCATCCAGAGCACATAAACCAGACTATGCACCACCACACGGGAGGTCGTAAAGGTGCAATTCCGTCACCTGAATTTGGTGAACACCGACGCACAGCAAAACTGACGTCAATGATCATGCAAACAAAGTACATGTACTGTAGCAGGCTGTCGGTCACAGAGTCTCCATGGCTCATCGACAAAGATGCACTCGTACATGATAAGTTCTGCTTCGCCAATCACATGTGAGGAGCTGCACAGTCTGGTTTGCCTACTCGCGATGCCGTCGGCATAGCTCAATTTGCTGTACCTCTGCAGCACACTCGCAACTGTTCACATGGTGCATGGCAACCGTTATCAAACCTTTCACCCGCAAATGACTGCGTACCAGATGTCTTTCTGTCAATTTAGTACACCTCCTGCAGCCGTTTACTTCCAAAATTGATATCAGAGCCTGCATTGACCTTTCCCTGTGTGTGTTTGATGCTGTTATTACAGGGAGATCGTGGTAATGCTGGACCAGTCGGTGACCATGGAGCACAGGGATATCAAGGTGGACGCGGCTCCAAGGGCCCCAATGGAGACACTGTAAGTTTCCCCGGGAGGGAGAGGGAGAGGAAGAGAGAGAAAGTGTGCGAGAGAGAGAGAGAGTGTGTGTGTCCATGCGTATGTCTTCTCTCGTGCGCGCGGGTTTGCGTGTGCATGTGGTGTATGTATGTGTGTGTGTTTTTGTATGCCATATGTCCCTTGTTCTAAACCTGATCAAGAACACCCTGGCTGTATTGTGGAATCAGTATTGACTGAAGAGGGACCAAGAAGGGGCTATTTTGTGTATTGTTCATTTCATGGCCATGATATCACTCTGCTCATTCCTTTCTTACATTTTCAATGTCCAACCGTGATGCCTGGAAGCTGTCCTGCCAAGCATGTACATTAATACTTTCTCTGACTGACCTCTGACTGACCTCTGACTAACCTCTGCTTTGCTCTTTGATTTCATCTTCTTGCTCTACAGGGAACACGAGGCACTCAGGTAAATGGAGGAGGCTGCAGCTGACTGTCTGTCTCTCTCTCTCTCTCTCTCTCTCTCTCTCTCTCTCTCTCTCTCTCTCTCTCTCTCTCTCTCTCTCTCTCTCTCTGTGTCTCTCTCTCTCTCTCTCTCTCTCTCTGTGTCTCTCTCTGTGTGTGTCTCTCTCTCTCTTTCTCTCTCTCTCTCCCCCCCCCCCTCTCTTTCTCTTTCTCTCCCTGTACGCTCTCTCTCTCTCTCTCTCTCTCTCTCTCTCTCTCTCTCTCTCTCTCTCTCTCTCTCTCTCTCTCCCTCCTTCCCCTCCCTCCTCTCATCTCGTCTACTCTCTAAACTCTCTATAGGCATGCTGGTATTGGTTTGTGGGCAGCATGTTCATGCGATATGAACGTAATTAGACCGATTCACAGTGTTTGATAATTCTGGTATAGTTGTCTTGTCAATTTCTCACGCAGTTGTGTTCGGTTAGGCTAGATACTGCATTTGGGTGCAAGCTTTTCAACTATGCATGTGTGACTGTGTGTTTGTGTGTTTGTGTACATATGTGTGTGTATGTGTGATCGTATACGTGTGCGTGTACATGCTTGTGCCTGTCACGGGTGTTGTGTGTTCTCCCTTCACTATACACAGGGTCAAGCTGGACCAGCTGTAAGTAAATGCTTGATACATGCATACGTGTTCTGTTGATGAGCACGGGTCCTCACCAGCACATCATGTCCCTTTCTGTTGACCCTCAGTGACTTTCTTTCCTGTTCGACCCTCTTTCAAGTTGTACATTGTACTGTTGAAGCAACGAAGTAAAATATATCAAAAACAAAACAACACATGCCCCCCCCCCCCCCCCCCCACACACACCACCCTTCTTATTCTTGTTGACGGGAAGTGATGTCACCCAGAGCCAAAACTGAAAAAAAATGATCGTTACTTGATCTGCGGTGAAACCACTCGACTTCTGTTGCTCGCACACGTGTCTTGTATTTGCCCAATGATTACCATGGCAACCATGGTTTCCTTTCTGCACGTACCCAACAGTGTGTGTATGATGATGCACTATCATGAAACACAAGTCCGAGCTATGCTGCAACATGCACGAACACTGCTTGTTCGATTCAGGGTGTCTGTCCATCTACATGTATATCGGCACATAAAATGTTCCGGAATTGCATGGTGGGGAATTAAACATTCAAGGCGTGCTGTGTGCTATTCTTTCAGGGACGCCAAGGACCACTCATGAAATGTTCTGGAATTGCATGGTAATAATTTTAAAACATTCACGGTGTGCTGCGCGTTATTCTTTCAGGGACCCCAAGGTCCACCTGGACCACCTGGTGAGACCGTGGCCGTGGATGAGTGTCCCTCAAGTCTCATCAAGGGACCACCCGGTGCCACTGATCCCAACACCAACACCAACACTGCCGAGGAGTTCCGACGCAAGCGACGTGATGTCAGCGAGGAGGAAATCGTAAGTCGCTAAACAATTTACGGTTCTCGTGAGACTCGGCTAGAGACCGAGCTTTCCACATCCGTAGCAGGGGCGTCGGAAGGTAATTTAGTGTGGTACGGTCAGCCATCTGAAGTACAAGTTAGTCGTGGGGGAGGGGTTGCGGAGCCGAAATTTTTGGAAATTTAGATCCCAGATCAGCGTATTTTATTGATTCGCGGGGTGCCTGAGACAAAAAGTGGTACGGTCAATACCGTAGTGACCGTACTGTGTCCGACGCCCCTGCGTAGGAACGTCACCACCATGAAGGACCACACGCCAGCCATGCGGGTCAATAGCCGAGAATCCCTGGCATTTAATAGGGTCGGCCATCCTTACCAACTGTTTCTCCTTGTGACATGCCGTCTAAAGGAGTAAAAAGTACCCATGGACCCCCCCCCCCCAATTTGTATGGGTAGAATGGTGGAGTGATATCTGCTCTTCAATTTGGTATGGTTAGTTTTAGGTAAGGTCACCAGGCATATAGCATGCCGGTCCTGAGTATCAGGCTACAGAAGCCGCAAACACCTGTGTTTTTCAACCAAATTGGTAGAAGCTCCTGGCTCCCAAGCATGCCATGAACAAGCCGGCCTGCTCTGCTAGCTGGACAGGGAAATAACTGGTCATTGTTCAGACCCGGGGCAATGCAAAGCTTTCCGGTGCACACGAGTGCAAGCAGGAATGGCAAATATGCAGCCTATTCCGCTTACCGGTGCACAATTCCCGCTGCTCTGTCTACAGATCCAAGCTCGCCTTGAGGACACCAAGCAGCGCATTCACTCCATTAGCAATCCGGATGGCAGCAAGGAGAACCCAGCACCGACGTGCCGCGACCTCATGACCACTCTGTCCAAGCCTAAGGATGGTAAGAAGAGGAATAATGCCTGTTTCTACCTGTATCGCTGTTTTTCAAGTGTCCAGGACATACATAGCCTGCTTTTACCCACCTTACTTCACCCATCATGGGCTTTCAGCTCAAGATATTAGCCAACCACTGAAAATGCCCATTTGGTATACAAGAACTCGTACTGGGGATTTAATGAGGTGTGACATAATACATACGACATCTGCTTAGGCACTGCAGGTGTGTGTGGGGGGGGGGGGGGGGGGGGGCGGAGGAGGAGGTTAATCCTCGCACGTCCTGCGGTACTAGGATCTGTAACTGAGATACCTTCGATCTGTAACAGGTACTGAGTTCAATCTGAGAAAATTTAGGAAACGCCCTGACTTCTGCAACCAATTGTGAACTTTTCTTCTCTAAGCTGCAGCTAACAATTCGCTTCACACATGTTTGAATGCCCCCTCTTCCAGGACAATACTGGATTGATCCCAACGGTGGACATCCCGGTGATGCTGTCCAGGTTCGCTGCGACTTCACAGCAGGTGGACACACTTGCGTCGATCCGATCGAAAGCCACAAGAGCGTAAGCTGCCGCTCATTTTGATAGAAGGATAGCTGCTCAGAAAAGACGGCCACAGCCAGGATGCACTGGTGTTTTAGTCAACAGCTGCTTTAGATATTACGGTGCTGTATATTTTGCAATGATAACAAGTCTCTACTTGGTATGTCCATCCGCACCTGTGATAGATAGCTACTTGTTTGCAGGACTTGTCGGACTGATCATACTACCTCACTTAATTAGTTCCTGGGGCCCAGCGTGCACACCATGTACAACTCGAATGAGCCTTGGTGCATAACAAGTACGTACAGTCAATCACCTAAATCTATGTGTCTACACCAAATAATGTGTGACCTTGTCGTAACTGTGTTTGCCCTGGTGGTGGCTTTGCGAATTGTATCAGGCGAGTCACGTGGGAAACACTATCGAGTTGTTCTGGATGTTTATGTTGGTGTTGTTCTGTACATTACAGTCCGAATTGGGAACTGTTGCCTCAACGTCTCCATGCTACAGTGCCATGCCGGGTGGAAGCAAGGTCAGTACTCGCACCACTGTACCGTACAGCATGTTGCAGTGTTGCCGTGAGCTGTACTATACAGCATGTTGCAGTGTTGCCGTGAGCTGTACTATACAGCATGTTGCAGTGTTGTGAGCTGTACTATACAGCATGTTGCAGTGTTGTGAGCTGTACTATACAGCATGTTGCAGTGTTGTGAGCTGTACTATACAGCATGTTGCAGTGTCATGGAATTCTATATAAGGTGCAATGAGCCATCATCCGATGATTCAACTGACCTGGCAGCAAGAATCCATTGCTTGCATTCGGTGATTGTGTTTTGCTTCGTACTCGGGATGTGTTTGCGTGCAGTTCAACTACTCGATCAGCACGCCGCAGCTGCGCTTCCTGCAGCTGGCCAGCAACAACGCGTCACAGACGTTCACTCTGCACTGCAATGGCATGAGCAGCCAGGACATCAAGATGATCGGCGCCAGCGGAAACGTCTTCCAGCACGAGCGTGCACCGACGTCGGGCAGTTCCTGCGGACTGTGCAGCAGCGGAGCAGCACCAATCTGGCCTGATAAGCAGTGCTGCTCAAGATCCAAGCCAGTACAACCTAGCCATGATGGATGTCAGGTGAGACATGTCACATAGTACACTGCACTGCCATACCTACCAACCATGCCGACTTGGCCGGGACCGTCCCGATATCGAGGGTGGTGATAGGCACCCAAAAGTGCATTTGCCGCATGCCTCAAAGCTGCATTTGTATGCATTTTCATACCTAGGTGTGTCATTGTCCTGATCTCAGGTTTGTAAAGGCTGGCAGGTATGCACTGGAGCACAGCGTTCGTTTTATTTTAATTCACCAGATACACAGGCATTTCCGGCTACCTTCTCATCTAACCTTAAGGCTAAACTCTCAATAAAATATGAAGACCGAGACCCATCTCTCTCCTGGGCTTCTTCTCGTTGCCTCTGCATAGCCAGGGAATAGCAGATGGAGGACAGTGTGGTGTAGGGGATAGCTCTAAACAGCATTTGCCAATGTCAGAAAGAAAAATAGATGCCACATCGTGAAGACCTGTGTGTGTGTGTGTGTGTGTGTGTGTGTGTGTGTGCGTGCGTGTGTGTGTGTGTGTAAGCCAGAAAGTCTGTAGCTGAGTCCTGTTGCTTTGTGTTGTTTTTGCTGTCCCTACCGCAGGCTGGCAGCGGTGCAGCACACTCCACGTTCAACCTGCAGACCAAGGACGCACGGCAGTTGCCAGTGCACGACTTCACGGTCGCCGGCCAGTCACCGAAGACGTTTGGTTACCAACTGGGTGCCGTGTGCTACTCATAAGCTGTGATGGAGAGCGCCAGTGGGGGCTCACCCATTACCCCACACAATCTCCTCTCTCACTCACACCGCCGGCTACCTCTCAATCGAATGATCTACCCTCACGTGTTCGCGAGCCAGTCTGACTCAGGATAGGCTGGCTCGCCGCATGCCCGGGAGATTCTGAACACCAGCTCTTTAGCACGGAACGTTATGGCGGACCTCAGCGATCCGTTTTCAGCGCTCTGGACCTAGGACTACACCAACATAGATTGTCGTACCTTTCTACAGCTCATTGGCTCCTCGGCTGAGTCACACATCCATGCACATACTCTCCCATACACGCATTCGCAATATCAGAGGAGCCTGCTCTCGGCATCCTTCCTCTGTCACCCACCCACCCCGGCACTCGCACACAAACACACACACACACACACACACACGCACAAACACACACAATCAACCATTGACACTCACAGCCCAACATGCTTGTTTGCATGTACATGTACCTCTAAATGTACAGTCTACCATGGCTCGGCATCTCTGGCCGCGTCAGCGATAAAACTTTTTTTTTATCCGATTGCTGGAATCCATGCGCTAACATTTTCCGCTTCTGCTCTAGTGCCTTTCACTGGGTATAAAACTCTTTGCTTTTGTTTTGACAAGTATCCTCAGTGTGTTTTCCCCCCAACTGACCTTCTCTCTATTGCCTTCACCATCGGTTTAGCCACTCCCAAAGTAGCACTTGATGGGCTGGCATCTCAGAGCTGACCTTCAATTGCTTGTAACGGTCCATACCGTACTGTACAATGCTAATACTATTCAAAACATCACGGCCGATGATCGTTTCAGTGCCTCCTCCACTCACTCTTCAAAGAATCATTCCAGCTCTGCTACTTTAACTGTCTAAATCCGATGCAGCACTGCGGGCGTTGCTGTTGCATTCGGCTGCTTTCGTTCTCTCCGTGTCGCTCGCGTTCTGTTGGCTGTTCACCATGTTCACCGTTCAGCAACATAGACTGATCTGCTATACGAACCTAGACTACAGTGACGCTTCGAGTGCCGGCCGGCATGGCTGGAAGCGATGCCGTGGTGACTGTGTGTTGTGTAATAGACTATAGTGAGGCTATGGTAACCATCCAAGGAGTCATGAAATACAGGACGTACATGTACTCCTGATAGTAGCTGCGTACTGTGCCTATACTTGAGAGAGTCACGCATGCAGTTTTGCGCCAACCGGTACACAAATCGACCCCGAAGTTCGAACTTGCCTGCTGGGAGGCCAGGGCAATTCATAATATGGCGACTCGTTTCTGACAACAGTTACTATGCTGTATGCATTCTCTACATGTGTGCATGGGAATTATTGTGTAGTACATGGGCGTAGGAACCGGTCCCGCAGGCCCGGCGGTCGCCGGACCAATAATTCTCGATTTTTTTTACATTTCAACCTTGTTGATGGCTTGTCGACTCTTGTACAGGTACCATGTTTTACATCGACAATGCGGTGTATCATCAGCATGCATATTCTTATTTCTCATATTATTCTGTAGCATTAAAATATGGCCTTTTAGGCCCAATTTTAAAAAAAATCCCGGGGGAGGACCCCTGGACCCCCCTCTCACAATTTCGCCGCACCAATATTAAACTGCTTCCTATGCCCCTGTAGTATTGTGCAAAGGAGGAATGATTTGATGGGGACTATTGGAGTATACCTCCAGCGTCAGTCGTTGACGAAACAACGCCCGTTTCGTCACTGAATATTATAACGGGTGATCGACAAGACGTGACACTATTATCTCTTCGATTATAATTATTATATGTAGTGCATGAACATCACACAGACTCTCTGCAATCACGGATATCACTTACCCACTCTCCCGCTCCTTCTGCTTACCATCCGTAGCTCCAAAAGAGCGCAATCCTTTGGCATGCATATTAAACAGCACCGAAATCCCTCCGAATTTCACTGAGTCTGATGACCCAGTCTGATGAGTGTAGACTATTCAATACCGGCACATGTATTGTTAGTGTGCTGAAGTCTGTGTATCAGGGAGTATAATGTACATGTAGTACAATAGGGCTTGAAAGTGATGACGTCAAAACGGCCAGGGAGTAGTAAGTTCACATCAGATTTCTACTTTTGGATCCACTAAGGTGTGACTTTGCTATTGCCTCAGTATGTGGGTGCATAGCAACCCACTCATGTCGTATGCAGGTGTGACTTTTACTTCGCCACCAGTTGTCACCCCGCCCCCACTAGCCAAATCAGTCAGTTTCACTGGCTACATCACCTTGCTGTGAGTAAGACCGCTTGAAATGTGCTTGGATCCATACAAAAACTGGATCCAAGTGGATCCAATTTTTGAATTTTTGAAATTGTTGCTATGCTGTGACGTAGCACTTTCAAGCCCTATACTGTATTTTATCACTCTACTCTTCTATATCGACCTCCACTAATTCTCGTGATCCTTGACTGGTCCTATATTACCAAGAGTCCATAACATAAAAAATTATGGGTTATGGACTCTTGATATTACCCATATCGCCGCAATACCGACCGCTTGTATCGACCACTTAGACATTGTAATCTTTCGACTTTGGAGGGACTTAGAATTTTTCTCTCCACTTCAAAAAGAAAAATTGAAAGAAAGAAGACAAAGGAAGAGAACAAGCAGGATTCGAACTCACAACAGTATGAATCTCAAGCAACCCCTTATACCACCCAGCCACTGTGCTGCAGATGCTGAACTCTGTTGTTCTTAACCCTTTGAGCACGCGTGACGTTCTGACACGTCATGACCACTGCCACTGTGACACGCGTGACGTTCTAGAACGTCACGAGTCTGTACGGTACTACATCGATTATGCTGTTCTTCCGTGGCGTCGATCTAAGCTGTACCGCTGCACAGTGGACTCCTAGTATGTACGAGTACAGTATAAAAAAAACTGCGAGTCGCTCCGTAAGTTTGAACTGGAGTTACATGCGCGTGCATACATTTCAAAAAATTGAAATTTGGCCGATCTGTAGAGATGGCTCGTCGTAGGTTTGCCGCGGAAGAGGCCCTCCAGGAGGTTTTCATGGATCCTGACAGCGATGTCGAGCCGTGGTCAGGGGATGATAGCTTCGATTCTGGCGACGGGAGTGACGAGGAGTCGCTCCCGGATCTCGTATCGATACCTGGTTCGCCTGACGATATTGGTGTGACGCACGGCGACGAGCGCGATCAACACGACGTAGGTGACGGCGCTGCCAGTGCCGCGAGCGGGGAGATTGAGAGCGACGAGGACCTTTCATGCAAGAGCCATGTCCTTGCCACCGAGAATCTGAGCGCCCATGACGATGGTTCTGAAGGTAAGAATAAATTTGACGACTTGGAGAATAAATATTTGCAATGTGAAAATTTGAAAATTTGAAAATTATCACGACTTGATGTGCAATGCGTGTACTGGCTACAGACTACACTATGGTATATTTAGGTATCTCTTTACATATGTGCCACACATGTAGGTATTTGGAAAAAAGAAGATAACACACCTCTGCTACCTCAGTTCACTGGCACACCTGGCATGCAAGTGGAAATGCCTGACGATGCGACTCCATACGAGTATGTGCGCTTGTACTTCACCGATGCTATGTGGAGTCTACTTGTTGACGAGACCAATCGCTTTGCCCGACGGTACATAGACGCTAATCTGGAAACCCTGGCACCGCGCGCCCTTGCTCGGAGCTGGAAGCCGGTGACCATGTCCGAAATGAAGATCTTCCTGGCGCTCTATCTGACGACAGGCATTCTCTGGAAGCCAGCACTGGACCAGTACTGGAGTAAGGATGCACTGATTTCCACGCCATCGTTCTCGGCTGCCATGAAGCGGGACAGATTCATGAGTATCCTCATGTTTCTGCATTTCTCGGACAACGCTGCACCGGACGAAGCTGACAAGCTACGGAAAATTCGCCGCCTGTTAGATCTGTTTATCGATCGTTTTCAGGCAGTGTACACGCCACGCAAAACCATCTGCATCGACGAGGAATTGGTGGCGTGGAAGGGCCGACTGAGCTTTCGCCAATTTATTCCATCTAAGCGTGCTCGATTTGGTATCAAGATTTTTGCCCTGTGCGAGGATTCTGGATATATGTATAACTTCATTGTGTACGTCGGCAAAGATAATGTCAATCTCAGCCCGGACATGGTGAAGCAGCTGGGAGCATCGGGCGCTGTCGTCGCGAAGCTGATGATTCCACTTGAGAATCAGGGACACCACCTGTATGTGGACAATTGGTATTCCAGCCTGCCACTCGCCAAGTACCTCAGTCAGCACCAGACCGGTGTATGCGGCACCATCCGCAAAAACCGGGTTGGTTTGCCGAAGCGACTGACTGGCTATAAGCAGCTGAAGAAATCAGAATACACTTACCGTAGCTCGCAAGGAGCGCTTGTCGTAAAGCTTCAGGACACAAAGGAAGTCATGTTCCTCTCCACTTTGCACCGTGCCAATGCTGTGCCAACTGGCAAGCGTGATCGAGAAGGAAAGGCTGTCAAGAAGCTACAGGTAGTCCATGACTACAACCGGTACATGGGTGGTGTGGACCGGAACGACGCCATGCTCTCAAACTACACTGCTGCACGCAAATCCACCAAGTGGTACAAAAAGCTCGGCACACATATCCTGGAGGAAGGGCTACTGAACGCGTTCATCTTGTACCAGAAAGCTGGCGGCAAGCGAAAACACTATGATTTTATTCGAATTGCGATGAGTGAGCTGTTGGCCGAAGGTGTCAAGGGACGACATCTAGATGCAGCAGCACCAACAGCAGCAGCGCCAACAGCGGCAGCAGCAGCACCTGCAGCAGCAGCGCCAACAGCGGCAGCAGCAGCAGCAGCACCTGCAGCAGCAGAAGCACCAGCAGCAGTACCAACAGCAACAGCATCCGGACCAGCTCCAGCTGAGCCAACGGAACCTCATCCGGCAGCAGCGACAGCAGCAGCAGTAGTTGAACCGCTACCAGCAGCGGCAGAGATTGCGGAGCCAGCCCAAGTATGCCCAGCTGCCCCAGGACGCCATCCTGATGTTGTTGCAGCAGCACCGACTCGCACACAGACTCACCACCAAAGCCCAAGCAGGTTGACTGGACGTCACCATCCAGCATTTGTCCCACCAACACCCAAGAAGGAAAAGCCGCTGAAGCGGTGCGTCGTTTGCTGGGCGAGAGGCAGGCGCAGGGAGAGCCGCGAGTGCTGCATGTCATGTCCGGGGCAGCCAGGCCTGTGTTCAGTGCCTTGCTTTGGAATCTACCACACCGAGTATGACTATGGCCAAATTTGATGGTGCTGGAGCAAAGGAGCACAGCAGTTCACTGTTATCATGTACATACTGTATATATTGTAAATATAACGCCAAATTAGCGTAAAACTACCTTTCTGAAAACGGTCATAACTTTTGTAATTTTTGTTGTATTTCCAAAACAAAATCAGTTCTGTGCTCAGGATACATGAAAGAATCGTTTGAAATCAAGTTTGCTCACATAGAGTGAATTTAAAATTTTGTCATTTTTGTACTGCGTGGCAGAGGTTTTCAATGGGCCCGGACTCAAAAGGTTAAGGGGGCAGCCTACCCATAAATTTCATATGGCATTCAATTGACCGTAACTTTGGTGTTTCTCAGTGGATTTGAGTAAAATTTTGACCACACACTCCTGCCACTATGCTGGCCCTCAGGACATGATTTACAAGTTCTTGCGCCTCACTGACAGGCTTTCCAGGCCGGAAAAACTCAAATTTCCGGCATAGTGCCACGGTGTGCGAGCCACCCAGGAGCCAAACAAATGCATTTACATTTTTTCACATTTTCGTGCCCATTCTGTCCGTGCGCGGGACCCAAACCTAAAACAAGTCCAGAAGCAGCCATGGGTGGTGGGGTAGGGCCCCTCAACGTGGCCCTGGAATCTGTCACAACGGAACGGGTGGGCGTTCTCTCACGGACGGCCACAGACCCAAGTCAATTTTTGATTTTTTTTAGGTTTAGCACGTGCTACGAGGC